ATGACACACACACACCCTACCATGACACACACACACCCCGGGCCACTCGCTTGGCATGTGCGCGCGCACGCGCGCGCGCAGACACACACACACACACACACACACACACACACACACACACACACACCCCCTACTATGATGAGTCTGCACTCTCTTCACCCCATTTGAAGCCTGTGGTGTCTATGACCACTGCTGAAGGTCGAGCAGCGTTCTGGTGTGCCTAAACCCCATTCCAGTGGTTGCTGAAGCAGCATCTTCTGCACAAAGTCCAACAGAAGGGTTCTTATCCCTGTTTGGTATAAGAAATGGATTCTCCACCCACTCCCTGCATGGGCTTTTGCTCCTCTCTTTGGCCCATTTCCCCAGCGTCTACTGGCATCAGGGTTGGCAGGGGCGCAGGCACTCGACAGAGCATACCCTGCAAAACCTCAGTGTCAGGGCCCCCCTTCCAGCTCCAGACAAAAGGTCATGAGTCCTGGCCGCAACGGGCCTGTGGCCCCAGTTCAGTGGAGAAGAAAGTCAGTGATTGGAGAAGCAGCCTCAGGACGCTGAGAAAGGAAAGTGGCAACCATGAGAAAGAAAGGAGAGCCAAGAAGCATCCTGGTTCTTGGACATCCTCCTTGGGCACCCTGAAGGGTGACGATCCTGCCAGAGACGCTCTGTCTACAACTGATGACCTACTAAGGTCTGGGGTTAATTGCTCAAAGGAGCCAGTGTTCACAGAGCCACCTCTGCCCTAACCCTTGCTCGGAGCTCTCCAAGTATGACCCACAAAGGGGTGATGGGGGGACTCTTAACATCAACAAAGCAACCAGAAAGACATCAGGCCTCCCACACTCAGGCTGCAGGCCCACTTTCTTGGTCCTTATCAGCTTTAATATTTATTAATGATGACGTAAGGAGCCTGAGCCAACTGTAAAGGCCATTAACTTGCAATCTGGGCAGGAAATGGCACTCACCACTTTGGGTAAGAGCTGTTCTGACTGTAGGGGCCCCTATTTGTTGTCCTAACCCAGAAGCAGCCCTGGGCTGCCAGGATGCTGCATGGAATACCAAAGAGTTCACACCAGGGAGTAAGCAATAGCTGCCCCTGGAGTCTCCTAGGGGGTGGCACTTAGAATAAGGGAAGAGGATTTGCTGGTCACTGTTTGCAGATGTGGGTCTCTATGGTGAGTTCAAGCCTGAGGACAGAGGTGTCTTGAGAAATGTCCTTGCACATTGGGCTTCAAACTCCTTTTCTGGGAATCCAGCTTTGCCTGAAAGCAGAAATATACACCAGCCCCAAAGCCAATTCTGTTTTCAGATTGGTTGCTCTGGAAAGGAAGTCTGGGGTGAGGGGCATTTTACCTGCACAGCGGCAGACCCTGCCTTTCCTCATCACTGACCCCTGACCCCATCTCCATGGTAGACCTCAGCCATGTCAGTTACTGTTCTGGAAGGTGCTGGGCTGGGCCAGAGTTATGTAGGTAAGAAACCTGACCAACCCTGAGCCTCGTCCCTCCCACACCAGTGACACAGTGGTCTCTCTGTGGTGACTGTTCACAGCATAACATTCTGCTTAGCCTCACACTGAAACCATTGCAACTGATGTCAAAACCAGATGAGATCTTACAGGGAGGGAGATGACTGGATGCAGTTTGCCACCTCCTCTGAATAAAAAGCTGTTTGCTCACCCTCAGTGACTAGACTCTCCTGTTTTAAGAGATCCCAGTCCAAACCCTTGGCCAGTGTCCTTCCTGCTGGGTCATCTAAAAGCGCCTCTAGGAAAGCCACTTTTCTTCCGTTCCTGGTGAGGGACATAGTGAGTGTCACACGGCAGCACACTGGCTGTGCCGGACTTTACCACCTCTTGAGATCAGACTCTGTGCTGTGGAGTGACTGACCAAACGATTCTCTATGCCACCACCCTTATGGTATTTCCAGCAGAAGGAACAATCACCTTTCCTTCAGTAAACTTTATTGAGCAACTGCTGTATGCCAGGAAGGTGGGCAACTGGGGCAAGGGTTACCAGGATTGAGGGTTTTTTTCACTTGGACAGCTAGAAAGGCAGAGGATGACAGGTGTCCCACCCATGACTGTCCTGTGAATTAGACACAAAATAACGCTAATTCAAGCTACACACGTGCCTCTGCCAGGGTGTATATCCAGTTGGGGTGACAGCCTTTGAGAGAGGGGCTGGATGTACTGAACAGACCAGCCAACTCCTCAGACAGAGCCCCTTGCCTACCCCCAGCACAGGATACTTTAAGAAGCTTATTGGCATAAAGAAAAAAGGATTCAGGGACCACCGTGTTCTCTTGTAATCAAAGTTTAATTGAAAGCATATTGATCATTTGAACAAATCTCTGGAGGGCAGAACGAGGAGGAGAAGGCCTTGGTTAACAGAAGCAGCCTTGGGCTGCCAGGATGGTGGATGGAACACCAGGGAGTTCACACCAGGGAGGAAGTGATGCCTGCACCTGGAGTCTCCTAGGGGGCGACAGTTGGAATAAGGGAAGAGGATTTGCTGGTCACCATTTGCTGACCTGGGTGTCTATGGTGAGTTCAGGCCTGAGGACAAAGGTGTCTCTGGGGTGTCTGCAAAACCATGTGGCCTTTAAGGAATGTCCTTGCACATAGGTTTCAAACTGCTTGGAGCACCAGGAGAGGGATTCCCTGGATTTCAGGCATAGAGGAGAATGGAGGCAACAGAAAGGAGGAGAATGCACTTCCAGCAGGCCCAGCCCAGTGCTGGGAAAGTACTCCAGTTGGCAGGTGCCTTCAGGGCTAGCAAACCCATGGCCTGAAGATATGGCGGCTTCTTAAGGGGCGCCAGCAGGTGGCAGCGCTAGGCTGCCCATGGCCTGCTGCTCCAGGGAGAGAATCTATGTCTTTGAAGTCTATGGATTTGAATTGAGACAATGGTGGCCCTGATTTTTGAGGCCATTACTCAGGAAAGAGATGGGATTCTGTGGCCTAGACTGGGTGTTTCTAGCTATAAAAGAGGTGACCCTGTGACAGCACAGGAACTGGCCTTGTGGGTCTGGCTGCTTATGGTTGTGTTGGCCTTATCTTTGACCTACTCGCTCTCGAATCTGTCCTCATATAAGTCATCAAATTTAATCATCCATAATCTGAAAGCTAAGCACAAGTAGGAAATGCTGAAATGCTCAACTAAGGCTCCACAGCATCAGACAAGGCTACTTGGTGATGAGAACAATCTTTTGAGCATTAATCTCTTTCACTTGTTTGGAACTAAACTTGACGATAAATTTTTTGGGTCCAGTTTTCACCGGGGTGCATTTTATTTGGTATTCGATGGTCTCACCAGGCTGCACCATCCTGGAAAATTCAAAGACACAGACATACAATCAATCAAGGATGTTATGGGAAGAGGGAGAAAACGAGTTGAATGAGAAGCCAGGAAGCTGAGCCTTAGCTCAGTCTCTTTGAAAAGTCCTGGCCATTCCCGGGCATGGCAACAGTGGGCCTGCACCCTGGGTGCTGCCGTCAGTTTTCTGAGCTGTAAAGCAAGAAGGTTGAAACAGCTGGTTTCCAGCAGCTCTTCCAACTCTGACATTTCACAAACCTTCCCTGGAGTCTTGCCTGGCTTTACTATGGATGTTCTTGTTTCATGGGTATTAGCAACAGTTATCTATTACATGAAATCTAAGAGGAACATGTATTTTATGATGAATCCCTGTGAAAGGAATTGTCTAGCCCCTCACTACCCGAAGTGTGTTCTGGGGCCCAGTAATACTAGCATCACCCAGGAGCTTATAGGAAACAGAATCTAAGGCTCCACCCTAGAACTGCTGAGTCAGAATCTACACTGTAACAATACTCCCCAGATAACGTTAAAATGTGAGAAATCCTGGTCTAAGGAAAATAGGAGTCTACTGGTTTTTACTTGGAAGATTCAGACATCCTCAAAGAGACCATCATACCTCTCAGAAACAAAACATTCGAGTTCAGTAAAGTTTTTTTTGCTGGATATATCAGCATGCCAAAGATCAATTTCCATATAGTCCAGCAAACAATTAGAAACTATGAAAAATATTCTATTCATAAAAGCTATAATATTGATGCACCTTGGAATTAATCCAACTAAGAACGTGCAAGTTATATATAAAGAAAATATGGCTTTTCTAAAGGTGATAAAGACTTGAAAAAAATAGGAAAATCTCATATTCCTAGATGGTAAAACTCAACACTTGATCTTAGCCAAAAGGCTAAGAAGCGATCCTAAATGGTAAGACTCAATATTGCCATTTGGCACAATTCTCCCCAAAATAAATTGTTAAATTCAACACAGTATCAATCTAAATCCCAACTGTTTTTAAATTATGTGAGAAGATGATTCTAAAAGTTTTATAGACAAAAATGGGGGAATGGGATTTGCCTAATACATATCAATATGTAAATATGATAATCATATAAAATTATTGGGCCGGGCGCGGTGGCTCAAGCCTGTAATCCCAGCACTTTGGGAGGCCGAGGTGGGTGGATCACGAGGTCAAGAGATCGAGACCATCCTGGTCAACAAGGTGAAACCCCGTCTCTACTAAAAATACAAAAATTAGCTGGGCATGATGGTGCATGCCTGTAGTCCCAGCTACTCGGGAGGCTGAGGCTGGAGAATTGCCTGAACCCAGGAGGCAGAGGTTGTGGTGAGCCGAGATCGCGCCATTGCACTCCAGCCTGGGCAACAACAGCAAAACTCCGTCTCAAAAAAAAAAAAATTATTATAGAACAATAATTTAGTATAATGTTGTATTAGAAGAAGACAAATGAAATAGCAATTAAAGAGTCCAGAGACCCAGATATATGTGGAAATTGACAGCATAATAAAGGCAGTGTTTCAAAGGACTAGGAAAACCACAAAGTTGGAACTCCACATCACTCCACACCCAAAAAAAATTCCAGGTAAATCCCTAATTGTGTAAAGCTGGAAATTCTAGAAAAAGCATAAGAGAATATTTCTATGCTCCTAGAATGACATGAAATTCAGTGTCATAAAGGAAAATATTGAAAAATTTGGCTACATTAAAATTTTAAAGTTCTAATGGTGAAAGACATGTTAGTGTTTAAAAAAATACAGACTGCCCAGTCAGGGTGGCTCATGCCTGTAATCCCGGCACTTTGGGAGGCTGAGGCGGGCAGATCACCTGAGGTCAGGAGTTTGAGACCAGGCTGGCCTACATGGGGAAACCCCGCTTCTACTAAAAACACAAAAATTATCCAGGTGTGGTGGCACATGCCTGTAATCAAGGCTACTTGAAAGGTCAAGGCAGGGGAATCTGGAAGATGGATGGAGGTTGCAGTGAGACAAGATCGTGTCACTGCACTCTAGCCTGTGCGACAAAGTGAGATTCCCTCTCAAAATTAATTTAACTTTTAAAAAATTTTTAAATACAAACTCTTATAAATAATTCACAGCACATAATACTCTTTACTGTGTAAAGACACCATACTAATATGAAAAAATAAATGACTTGGTAGAAAAATGGACAATTTTTCAATTAATGTAAGAAATATTCAGCCTCACAAATAGAGATGCAAAGTAAAGCAATGAGATTACTTAACCACTAGATTGGCAAGAATCAAGGTCTGTTGGTAGAGCATAAATTGATGCAATCTTTTCTGAAAGTAATTTGGCACCAAAAAATGTGTCTACATTTTGACCCTATGACCCCATACTGGGAATTCACATCTCAGGAATATGCACATATATGCAAGATGTATGTCCAAAAGTGTATTTCGGTTTGTAAGAATACCTCAGGAAGACTCACCTATGGTCAGAGGTCTGTGGTGAGGAGATGCCCAGGCTTTCCAAAGAGAACTTGACATCAGTCAAAGGGATGGCCAGGGTATTCTTGAAGATACAATTACAGACAAGTAGCTGGCCAACTCTGCCTGTGTTAGGCAACTGTAGTAGGGTAGGGAGGAGAGATGGGGAGAGATGCATGAACCAACCAGGGACCCTTAGGGTTCTTAGGGGCCCCATCCCACTCCATGGCCAACTTCCGGGCAAGAGGAGCCCTTGATGGCCTGCAGGAAGCTCACCTCTATAGAGAACTCAGGGTACTGGAAAGACAGGAATACTTCGGAGGCCATGATTTCCTTAGACTCCACAATTTCCGCAATGAAGAAACCTCTGATAACTGGCTCATCATCGAATATAGCCAGGCTGTTGATGTAGGTCTTGGAGTCCAAGGTCAGAGTCACTTCCGATACTGCCAAAGAGCCAGGGTGGAGGAGAGAGGTCATGCATCATAGCCCCCCAATAGGAGGTTTCCTTATCAAGCACAGAATTAGATTAACTTTGTATGAATTGAGCTGGTTAACCTTGGACATGTCCCATAGTCTCTTTAGAAAACAAGATGTTGGGCTCAAGATGGAACAATAATTGGCCATGTTCTCCAGGCTTCCATCCTGAGTCCATGACAGACATTACCCGTTGTCATCAGGACATCCCACTTGTTCTCAACACTGTGCCCTGGGCACTGATAACCATTGATTTGACTGGGCATTTAAGAAAAAACTTCAGCCACCATAGAAGACTTCTCATGACACTTAGCACCCGTAATTTCTAACCCTATGATAGACCCAGGCTCCTAGTCCAGTGGTCTCTTTGGCCCATGTTTCCTCTGTGGCTTTCCTGTGACTATCATAGGTAGGTACTCAATAAATGTGTGTTTGTGTTTACTCACACACAAAAGTTTGTTAAAGTATGGAAGTCATCCACAGAGGAGAGAGGGATTCCAGATTGTGGGGACCCTGAGCTCACTTGAGGGCTCTCCTGCCCCTGGTTCTGGTACCTTGACCTTGGATCTGCGAGGTCTTCTTGAGGGTACACAGTTTTGCCACCCTCTTGCCAGTGTACAACTGTAGTTCAAAGGAGCCCGAGATGTTGACATTCTGTAGGGCAGCTGTCTTCCTTTTGAGAATCACAGTGAAATTAACAGGGTTTCCCAGCAGCGCATCTTCTGACTGCACCGACATGTGAAGAAAGTTCTCTTTTACTGGTCGTCTGTGCTCCCTCTCAGAATTGAGAAGGAGGAAGGCATGATCCATGACCTGCCTCTCCTCAGGGGAGCCTGAAAGAGACACAAAGGCAGCTTCCTTCAGATGCTCCTCCAAGGGCCAAATGTCCCAAGCACCACTGTGGCAGAAGGAGCCCATCTGTGTGGTCAGGACTGCAGAGACATCCGAGGAACCCAGGAGCTATAGATTCACACAGAGGAGCATTCAAATCCCCATTCCTAAGTAAAAGCACATTCTGACGTCAGTGGAAATGGCAGAATAAAGACCTCCAAAAATGTGTTCTCCATAAAAGCAGTGAGAACACTGGTAAACATCAAATCAGCCTGGCTCGGTGGCTCACACCTGTAATCCTAGAACTTTGGGATGCTGAGGCGGGGCAGATCATGAGGTCAAGAGTTCAAGACCAGCCTGGCCAACATAATGAAACCCCATCTCTACTAAAAATACAAAAAATCATCTGGGCATGGTGGTGGGTGCCCATAATCCCAGCCACTCAAGGGGCTGAGGCAGGAGAATTGCGTGTACCGGAAGGTGGAGGTTGCAGTGAGCCAAGATCACACCATTGCAATCCAGCCCAGGTGACAGTGCGAGACTCTGACTCAAAAAAAAAAAAAAAAATTATCAAATCAACTTTTTCAGAACTCTTGAAATTAATTAAAGGCTTATAATAATCTAAGGAGCATTTATTCAAGAAAAACAGCACAATCTCAGTAAGAACAGTTTTGTGGCATTCTGATTCCCATCTCCCCTTCTTTCTAGCTCCATAGTAGCCTCGAAAACCAGCAGCCCCAAATCACAGCCACCTCTGGAGGGGACAGAATGGTTTTAGAATTCCCTGAAAGCCCCACTATCAGAGAATTGTTGTTACTTGACTTGACTGTGATTCCCTGGAAATCCTCCTTCACAGAGTTTGTCCTCATTGACCTGACTCAGAGCTCCCTCATTACCAACAGCCTTTTTCCTGGAACATTTGTTAAGGCAAACAAAGCAAACAACCTGCAACAACTGTTTACAATTGCAGTTTCCTAAGGCAATGATAACAGTTGAGGGGAAAAGAAGCTGATCAAAAAAATTTCTTGTTTGAGATGGAGTCTTGCTGTGTCTCCCAGGCTGGAGTGCAATGGCGCAATCTCGGCTCACTGCAACCTCCACTTCCTGGGTTCAAGCAATTCTCCTGCCTCAGCCTCTTGAGTAGCTAGGATTACAGGTGACAGCCACCATGCCCAGCTAATTTTTGTATTTTTTAGTAGAGACGGGTTTTTGCCATGTTGGCCAGGTGGTCTCGAACTCCTGACCTCAGGTGATCCACCCGCCTTGGCCTCCCAAAGTGCTGGGATTACAGGCATGAGCCACCATGCCTGGTGCAAAAATCTTAAAAGGAAAATCTGAGGAGCAAAATGTCTATGGGGCTTTGAAAAGCTCAGATTCCTGAAAATGTAGGGTCTGAGAAAGCTCTAATAAGGCTCTAAGCTCTTACCTCTAACTGACCCTGAGGCTCTGCACAAGAAAGAAGTGAAGGTAGAACTGTAAATTGCCTGTCGGAGCATTGGATGTGTACCCCAGCTTGTACACAAAGTCCCTTGCCAAAGGCCAGGGGTCTTACCGATTCAAGGAATTTAAGACAATATCTGTCCAGTCATTAGCTGACCACTCAGCAAACAGCAGAGAATTCAGTGGTCGTGCACAAGAAAAATTACAGACTTTCTGGAATAACGTCAGGGAAGTCATTAAACAAATAGCAACAACAACAAACCCGGGGTGGGGGAAGGGATCTGATTTCCAGAGTTACCGTATTATATTCTTTAACATGTCCAATTTTCAACAAAAACATTTCAAGACACACGAACAAACTACGGGCCATACATGGTGGTGGGGGAGGGGGCTTGGGGGGGTCAATAGAAACGGTTCCTAAGGAAGCCCAGACACTGAACCCACTAGACAGAGACTTTAAATTAGCTATTTTAAATATATTCAAAGAACTAAAGGAAGGTGTGAGAACCAATGGCTTGCCAAACAGAGAATATCAAGAGAGAGATTAAAATTATTTTTTAAAAAGGACCAAATATAAATTCTGGAGTTGAAAAGTACAGTAATAGCAGATTAGAGCTTGCAGAAAAATCAGCAAACTTGAAGACAGCTCAATTAAGATTATCCAGCCTGAGAAACAGAAAGGAAAAAGAATGAGGAAAAATGAACAGAGCCTCAGAGACCTGAGGGACACCAAGTGTGGCAGTTGACAGATACCACTGGCCTCCTCTCTATCCTATCCTTTCCTCCCTGATACTTCTGCCACCCTGCCCCCCCCAAAAAAAAAATTCTTCCTGACCTAATTGCTTTTAATCGAGTTTGCTCATTTTCAAGACAAGCTTGGGGATAAGATTTTATTTCAGAGATGGCAGCTGTGGGACAGGAATTTCTGAGCTTGGTTACAGAGCTCTCCATCCACATTCACTCTGAACCCGAACAGACTTCAGAGTGGAGAGATCCATTTTGTCCTGATCTGCCTTGGTAGCCATTGCTTGACTCATTTATATGGAAGAAATATTTATTGCAGACCTACTTTGTGCAAGATTCTACCCAAGATCACAATCAGCCCAGGGGTCCAAACTGACCTTTTGTCACTACACTGCAGTGGAGGGTGGAAAAAGCCCCAGCCACCCCCATACAATTATAACCCGTATGATCTGCCATCCCCCAGCACATGAAATTGCTCCCTCATCCATGAGCCCTACTTCCTGCCTTCCTCTTACCACATCCCATCCTCGGCTTGCCCCTGTCTAGACTCTTGCATCCTTTGAGGATGCTGTATGGAGTTGTCTTCCTTTCATTAGCACTTGGCACAAGAGCCACAGCCACAGGGGAAATGGGCCACAGGGGAAAACCAATTCTGTCAGATTGAGGAACATCAAGAACAGAGGCAGCATATGAGCAACGGGGGCCTGTGGATAGTAGAGATTGCAAAAGAGACAGTTCAGGTGGGGAAAGCATAAGCAGAGGTCTGGCCAGCAGCAAAAGCAGCCAGCCGTTCCAGGCAGCATGGCTAGGGGATGAACTTAAACTCAGGAAGGGAGCCAGAGGCCAGCTCTGCAGGGCCCAGAAGGCCAGGCTGAGAAGATATCTAATTTGCTGGGCACTGCAAAGCATGGACCGTCTTAGCAAAGTGAGTGAGCTCCTCAAACAATGCAAAGGCCTCATTTAGGATTTGTTTTTCCTTTTCTTGAGACGGGGTCTTGCGCTGTCACCTAGGCTGAAGTGCAGTGGTGTGGTCACAGCTCACTGCAACCTCAACCTCCCTGGCTCAAGCAGTCCTCCCACCTTAGCCTCCTGAGTAGCTGGGACCACAGGCACATGCCACCACACCCAGCTAATTTTTTTTGGTAGGGACGGGGTTTCACCATGTTGCTCAGGCCCACCCCCGATACTGACTATTTTCATGGTCTGGGTGACTCAGGGGCTGGGTTAGAAGGAGCGCTGTGATGCTGGTCACCTTCTGGGTACTTGTACTCGTAGGTGATATCTCTCCGCCTCTCTTGTCCCACTGCTTTGGTGCTGATGTTTTTCCCGATGCTTGCGGTCTCCATTGATATTAAGTGTAACTCTTCCTGCCCATTCACCGTCTTCACCAACCAGATGAGCTTGTCACCATTCACTTCTGAGAAGACGAATCTGGTGTCATAGACTATAAAGATGTCACCTTTGTGGATGGCAGCCACTGGCGATGGCCCACAGCAGAAGACACCTGAGGGGAAGCCAAGGGTGGTGACTCTCACTGGGATTCCCCAGCTCACCTAGCCTGGACCCAGTGGCAGCAATGAATCTCAAACTCAAACAGGACTGGAAAGCAAGCTTTGCCCAAGAAGCACCTGGGTGCTCATTTCCTAGGCTGTCCTTAACTATCCTGTAAAGAGGGGCACATCTTAGCTTTGACTTGAAGAGTGTCAGGAATCCTCTGTCTCAGTAATAGGAAGTCACACTGCCTATTAAACTCATCCCAGCACATGAGTTCCCAGTACAGCACAGAGACACACAGTCTGGGTCTGATTCCTGGGATCGCGCCTTGGAGCTATGTGACCTTGTGCCAGTCACTTCAGCTCTCTGTGGCTCCATTTCCTAGAAAACTGGGGATAAACACAGCACTTCCCTCCTAAGGCTATTGCAAAGATTAAATGAAATAATCCAGGCAAAGTACTTAGCACTGTGCCTAAAACAAATGCAACCTGTTGCTATGGATCTGAGCTATTAAGAACATTTCCATTCTAAGAGCTCTCTTTTTAATTTCTAGCCTGTGGATAGAGAGGTCTCCTTATTAGTCATTGACAACTTGGTAAAAATCAGTCCTCTGCCTCTCAGGCAGATAGTGGCACTGGGCTATTCACTGCCTGGTTGCCATAGTTACTGTCCCACATCAGCAAATGCTACTTGGACTCCGTGGATGGAAAAAGCCCTTAACGTTGCACTGCTGAGAATCTTCCTGCAGAGTGTAGGGGAGTGCAGCTGTGTCACCTGCTCCTCCCACCTCTGGAGGCCACCTCCCACCACACTCACCCCCGATCATAAAGGCAATGCCTGATCTCTGGAGAAATGTGGAAGCTGTTTTCACTTTTAACAGCACTTTTTGCCTTCAGGGCCATGTGAACTCACACTGCAGCTGGAGGAATCAGGAGTCCCACACTGAGGGGTGTGGGGTCCGAGGAGTATGTTTAAGTTTTAACCTGAATGCCTTTGTGGAGCTGTATGCTCCTGTCTCTGGGTCCCCACCTTCCCAATCAGACAGCCCTGTTCACTCTCTGGCCCTGTGGACAGGTGAATATGCTATTCCCGGGATGAGGTGCACAGACAAACTGAGGCTCATTCCTAGAAGAACCTTGAGAAATATCTACTTCAGGGTCTGCAGGAGGGAGGCAGAGGTGTCAGGGAGCCAGGGGCAGGCTGTTCCTGGGAACACCAGCTGGAGCAGTTCTGCTTTACATTATGAGGTGTTACATGAAGTTTCTTTCTGAAGGGTCAGACTGCTTTAAAAAAAAAAAAAAAAAAAGTTTGAGGCTGGGTGCAGTGGCTCATGCCTGTAATCCCAGCACTTTGGGAGGCCAAGGCAGGTGGATCACCAGAAGTCAGGTGGTTGAGACCAGCCTGGCCAACATGGTGAAACCCTGTCTCTACTAAAAATACAAAAAATTATCCAGATGTGGTAGCAGGAGCCTTCAATCCTAGCTACTCGGGAGGCTGAGACAGGAGAATCCTGAACTTGAACCCAGAAGGCAAAGGTTGCCATGAGCCAAGATAGCACCATTGCACTCCAGCCTGGGCAACAAGGGTGAAACTCCATCTCAAAAAAATAAAAAATAAAGGCCAGGCATAGTGGCTCATGCCTGTAATCCCAACCGTTTAGGAGGCCATGGCAGGTGGATCACCTGAGGTCAGGAGTTCGAGACCAGCCTGACCAATATAGTGAAACCCCATCTCTACTAAAAATACAAAAATTAGCCAGGCACAGTGGCGTGCACCTGTAGTCCCAGCTAATCAGGGGACTGAGATAGAAGAATTGCTTGGACTTGATGGCATGCACCTGTAGTCCCAGCTACTTAGGAGGCTGAGATAGAAGAATTGCTTGAACCTGGGAGGTTGTAGTGACCCGAGATCACACCACTATACTCCAGCCTGGGCGACAGAGCAAGACTCTGTCTCAAAATAAGTAAATAAATACAAATTTTTTTAAAGTTTGAGAACTATTGAGCTAATCTATTTTCCCTTTACTGGGCTGATTTTGTCTTTATTACTAGGACTTGCAATTTAAAATAAAGATAACTTGATTCCATAGATTTTTCCATGTAACCTCAGACCAGCCCCTTGCCTCTGTTTCTCCAGCTGTACAAAGACAGCCCCTAAGGTCCTTCCAGCTATGAGGAGCCGCTGTCTTACCCGGGGGGTTGGTAACCCATAACTAACTGAGAGAAGCATCCCCATTATGTCCGAGTTGGGCTGAATCCTGGTCCAGCCTCATGGATCTGTGTGACCTCAGGCAACTCACTTCACCTCCCTGAGCCTCAGTTTCTTCATTTGTGAAATGAGGATAATGACAACCTACTTTGAAAGGTTAGTTGTGAGTGAACGAATCACGTAGGTACTGCGCGTGGCATGCAGTAGGGAACCCTTAAGATCCACCATCTCCTTGCTGTTAATAGTACTGTCATTGGCATTATCTTCATAAAAATAGCCAGCAAACTAAAGCCCCTGCTCAGGGGGAATAGCAGGAAGGACTGACTGCTTTTTGTTTTGGGAAAATTTTATTAAAACTTTCTCCACCTGCTTGGCTGCATACCCAAGGCCCACAGAACCCTGGGCCAGGTCAGGAGAGCAACACAGATGCCCAGCGCCTTCCTGCCGCCCACTCACCCTGGCTGCGCTCCTGCGGCGTGCCGTCCACAACCTGCCAGCCGTCGTAACCCTTGGGCAGATCTGGTCGCTTCATCCAGGCATCCGTCCACACATGGAAATTCCTGCCGCAAAATGGGAGCAGGCCCCACCCCAGACCACCCCCAAACCCAGTTAGAGATAAACACGTCAAAATTGCCAGAGACATTTTCATCACTGGGGACCCACTGAGGTTGTTCTCAGGGGCTGGAGAACGTTTGTCAACACTGGTAAGGAAGGGGCCACTGCTGAGTCCCATCTGCCTCTCAGAAAGCCTCCCAAGGCACAGAGGTGGGTGCAGTGGGCAGGGCTGTTGGAACCTCATGAGACCCTCACCCTGCCTATGGATCTCAAAGAGCCTGGGAGTCTGCACCCCTAGACGTGGTGAACTCAAGGCAAAACTAAATCTTATTTGTCTTGACATCTGCAGTGTTTGAAGCATAACAGACACCTAATAAATTTTTGCTGAATGAATGGGTGAAATAACAGTTGGAATCTTTTACTAGGCTGTGACTGCACACCAGTAAAAGATTGCAACTGTTATTTCATTCGCTCAATGAATGTATTCAGTCCGCTGGGATTCTGATTTGGTTGATCAGCAACTCTGTAACTGGCCAGTCTCTGAACTCTCATATTAAATCTTGCTATTTTTAAGCTGGTGCTCTTGATTTTCTAGGTACACAATGAACAGTTGTCCCTCGGTATCCACAAGGGATTCATTCGTTTCAGGACCCCTGAGTAAACCCCAAATCCATACACACTCAAGTCCTGCAGTCGGCCCTGTGGAACGTGCATGTAGGAAAAGTCAGGTCTCAGTATAGGCAGGCTTCACCTCCCACAAATACACCTGTACTTGGTTGAAAAAAATCTGCATATGAGTGAACTGCACAGTTCAAACCCATGCTGTTGAAGGGTCAACTGTATATCATCTACAAATAATACTGGTTAGTGCCTCCTTTCCAGAAGTTTCAAGGCTTTCTGTTTTCTCTTGCCTTGGTACATGAACTAGAATCTCAGCAGTATTTAAATAAAAGCTGTGAGGCTCCAACTTCAACTAAAATGCCTCAGGAATTTATCATCAGGCTCTGACCTTCCCACCTGGTCCACTCCCTCTGCAACTTCTCATTCTCCCTTTTCTATCTTGTGGTCACTTTTCAAGGGGCCCATGTGCTCTGGATCAGAGAACAAAGTAAATAAGCTTCATTCTGGCCAGTGGGTACCAGTTACATCAAACTTTTCAAACAGTGGTATATATCCAATCTCCTGGGCCAAGTGCTAACATGAACTTCAGATTCCTGGCCCTTCCCCTGTAGAGGCAAAGGCTCCAGTACAGGGATCTGCTTTTTTTTTTGAGCGATCTCGCTCTGTTGTCAGGCTGGAGTGCAGTGGCATGATCTCGGCCCACTACAACCTCTGCCTCCCAGGTTCAAGTGATTCTCCTGCCTCAGCCTCCCAAGTAGCTGGGATTACAGGCATGCATGCCACGCCCAGCTAATTTTTGTATTTTAGTAGAGATGGGGTTTCACCATGTTGGCCAGAATAGTTTCAATCTCCTGACCTGGTGATCCACCCACCTCGGCCTCCCAAAGTTCTGGGATTACTGGCATGAGCCACCATACCTGGCCAGGAATCTGCATTTTTTAACAATCACCCCTCAGGTGATTCCAGCACAGATTGTCCAAGGCCAAATGTTGGAAAATACTGAATTTCAGGGGCAGTGAGCATTGGCCTGCAAATTGAATCAGTCTCGGAGGGAGGTTGAAGGGCCCCATTGCTCAGCAGAGTCTCTGGGTTGGTAGGGCCTGGAGATTGGGCTTGGGCTAGAAAACTCCTGGGATGCCAGGCATGGTGGCTTGTGCTTGGAATTACAGATACTTGGGAGGCTGGGGCAGGAGGACTGCTTGACACCAGGAGTTCAAGACCAGCCTGGGCAACCTAACAAGACCCTGTTTCTAAAAAGATAAAAGAAAATTCCTGGGAGAAGGACGGAGGGTGGGTTGAGAAGGAGTGACCCTACCAGACAGAGTCGTACGACATCTTGGTGAGTTTCTCGCCCTTCTCATTCACATATGTATCCACTGTGAGGTTCTTTTCTGTGTCGTGAGCGGAATTGAAGGCTGTCACGCTGCGTGCTGGGATGCCCAATGCTCTCAACACTGAAATGACCCAGGGTGGGGTGATTGGCAACTGTGGGGGCTGGGAGTCCCCCCCTTGGTACCTCTGTCCTCAGCCACTGGATCTCCCGCTTACCTGTAGTCAGGACCCCAGCGAATACCCAGCACTGGCCGAAGCACACAGCCTGCTTCGTGTTGTAGTACTGCTGCAGGATCGGGGCGCTGCCTGTCCACCGGTATGGGGCTGTGCCACCTCGGTAATCCCCAGACCAATTTCCAAGGAGCACACCTTTGCCTTTCTCAACACTCATCTGCCACACACGTAGAGGTGGGGTCAGTGTCCACCCCTCAGAAGAACAAGGTGCTGCCAGCCCAGCTTGGCCACCCAGCCCCCAAAGTGGACACCTCACCGTGTCTCAGAGCACCTGGAGCACATGGGGCTATCCAGGACAGGTGGAGTGCCCAGAAGGGCCAAGGAGCATGCCAGCTGTGCGAGTGACCAGGGAGGATGCTCACACTCTGTGCCTCAGTTTCCTCCCTTGTAAAATGATGATCATTACAACACCTACCTTTAGGCTGGTTTTGTTTGTTTTTTGAGAGAGGATCTTGCTGTGTAGCCCAGGCTGGAGTGCAGTGAGGTGAGCTCGGCTCACTGCAGCCTCAACTTCCTGGGCTCAGGTGATCCTCCTGCCTCAGCCCCCCAAGTAACTGGGACTACAGGCACACACCACCACACTTGACTAATTTTTGTAGTTTTTCATAGAGATGGGGTTTCACCATGCTGGCCAGGTTGGTCTCAAACTCCTGAGCTCAAGCCGTCCACCTGTCTCGGCCTCCCAAAGTGCTGGGATTATAGGTGTGAGCCACTATGCCTGGCCCCTTTAGGTTGTTTTGAGGATGACCTGGCTGAGGCCTATGCCTGTTCTGGCATCTTCCATTTTTAAACTGTCAGTGGTCTGCACCTCTTTTAACCCCTAAGGAACCCTGTCTGGACAATCCTTTCCACCTTATTAAAACCAGAGAGAAGGCAAAGGCACGTGAGTTCACCTTTGAAAGCACTTAATGGAATCTCTACAGAAGGTTGTATAAGCAGGTGCAGAGGAGCCCTCTGAAAACATGAAAGGTGACACAGTCACAAATCTTTGATCTGGGGGTGGCCTGGCTTGGACTACACCCACCCATCCCCTCCTGGCCTGCACACGAATAGTCTTTGAAAACCCCATTATGCCTTGTGAAAAGCACGATTATACTGCCTCATGTTTCCCAGGATGTTAAAGATGGCCATGTGTTAAACTGAAACTCTTACGGTATGCTACACTTTCTGAATCCTGTTTGGGGATTTGTTCAGTTTTAATCTACAAGAAGTCTCAAACAATGGTGTGACCTGGGCCTCCCGTGGCCTCTCAGGTCATGTGGCTGGACAAGCCTCTTCATTCATCAAAATCGGAGAGAGAGCAGAGGCCACCCCCAGACTCAAGAGCGGTCAGACGGAATGAAAACAGATGAAAGGGAGACAGGCAAGGGTCCTAGGCAAAGCAGGACACACACCTCCCATCTTAACTGTCACCTAGCCTCTGCTCTGGTCCGGCTGCTGCATTCTACTGCGAAATTGAGTGACCGCAGCCTGTCGGTGCCTGCTAGACCCAAGCCGTCTATAGCGCAGTGTTGGGGAGGGAGGAGACAGAAAAGGAAGGGGAGTGACGCTGAGCCCAAGGACATCGGGACTTTCAAAACCCCTGATGCACAAAGCTCTGTCACCCTGCAGAATGAAGCACAGTCCTGTGCCCAGGTGTGGTAGATAGTCACCGGGGTAGACAGTCACCCCAGTAATCCCCTCCCCTAGACCCAGCAACTCACTTCTGACCAACAGAATGCAGCAAAAGTGATGGCTGTCACTTCTGAAATGAGGTGACAAAGGCTGTGGCTTCCAGCCTGGCCACACCCTCTCTTACTTGCTCACTCTGATGGACGCTGGCTGCCATGCTGAGCTTCCCTGACCTGAGGCTGCCCGCAGCCAGGTGAGTGAGCCTGAAAGTAGATCCTCCCCCAGAGATCTTGAGCCAGAACATTCAGCTAAACCACACCTGGATTCCTGACCCACAGACATGGGAGCTAACAGAGGTTTGTTGTTTCGGCCACTGTGTCTTGGGGTAACTTGTTACTCAGCAATGGATAACGAACACACTCACTGCTGCGCCGACTTCCCTGTCTGGTGTGGGGGTCATCTTTAGGCAGCCCTGTCAGAAGCTCTGCCTGCTAGTCAAATTCCCAGATCCGAGAGGCCCAGCGATGGCCACGGACTTCTAGGGGGAAAGGAGCAATCTTTATAGGGAATCTGGGAAGGGGGAAGGGCCTCTGAAGCAGGCAGGGGTTCTCAGACTCCCGAGCATGGAAGCTAAAGTGCAGTAACCTAATTCTGGAAGTGACTCCTGCAACACCTTGGCGTTCTGAAGTGCCTGAGGAGGTGGCTGCGAGGGCATTGCACTGGAGTGCTCTCCTGCACTCCGGTGGTTGAGTCAGGAGAGCTGGCTCAACCACCACTGTGCAGCCCTTGGCCAACTGCCGCTTCTCCCTGGGCTGGTTTCCTCATGGCTGAAACAAGCGGCAGCTTGGCTCACTGCTTCCCAAACCCCAACACTTGTAGGAATTACCTGGGAATGGGCCCACAGCGTGTTAGACCCTGGGCTGGGCACTTGTGTGTTATTGAGACCTCATGGTCACCCAATAGATGAGATAACAGAAGCCCAGAGAGACTTAGAGTCTTGGCCAGTGTCACGGAGCTTGAAAGGAGAGAAGCAGCCAAGTACGTGTGAGTCCTCCTGCACCACCAAAAACTAGGGCCCCTCATGGCAGGTTCTGTCTGCTAATGACTTAGTCTCCTTTACTCGTTCTCTCTCAGCTTCCAGCCTGGCCACCTGCTGGCCTCTGGGCCAGAGAATGAACATACCAGCATGGGGGTAAAGGGGAAAGAGCAGGCACGGTGGAGTCCATGCCTGGGCCCCAGAGGGTCAGCATGAGAGCCCCCAGTAATTTCACCAGCCCCTAAGGTGCAGGGGAACAGGAGCCCTGGCATTTATGAGGCACACCACGTGCAACAGGCTCACAGCCTCGCTACAAGGAGGGCATTTCAAGAGCCCCTGACTTAAGACCAATCTGTCACAGCAGGTCAGCTCACAGACTCGCCTAGAGATGAACATACGTCTGCCACCCACAGATGGCAAGAGTAGCCACTTGTCTGAACTCAGTGGACCTTTGGAGAGCGGTTCTCATTGGCATTGGGAGATCCCTGGGAGTTCCAAGCTCTGTGATCATTTACATAATAATCATTTACATAATAATCTATTTACATAATAATCCCCAGGTCATACTTGCCTTCTTCACTCTCATTCTGTCCTAAGTGTAGAGAGGATGAAAAATTGACATGGTTTCAGGTTCCACATTGCAGGCAACTTTAAGAAGCTGCCACTTATGGAGCCTGAGTATAGTATCTTCCATTACATAAAAAGGCTATGGGAATATTCCTGCCTTTTTAAATCTATGTATCTGTGTGAGGCCAGATGTTCATATATTCCAACTAAAACAATGAACGCAGAAGCAGCTATGAAATCCCAGCTGGCTGGAATTCCAGCAAGTCAGACATTAAAGAGATTTGCAAAAATGGAAAACAATGCCACTCTTCTCACTACATACTTTATGCTTTGAAAAACATTGGCTTTTTAAAATAAAAATACCTTATTTATGTTAACATGTAATGGAATTATCATTCGTTTAAAATAAATAGTTCTAAACTTTTCAGTTTTAATGTCTAATACAGTAAATATTGGTCAATATAAACCACAGAAACACATCTTATTTGGGGTCCTCAATAATTTTTAAAAGCATAGAAGGGTCTTGAGACCAAAATATTTGAGAACTGCTACTCTGAACACACTGACTTCCAAGTGGCCAGGTGGAACAGAGAGACCAACTATCCTGTCTGCCCAAGACCAAGGGGTTTTCTGGGACACAGTATTCTCAGTGCTAAAACCAGGAAAGTCCCAAGTGAACTGGAAATTTGCTCACCATAACTGAAGCTCAGTTTGCAGGTAGGAAGTGGACCTTCCGTATTTATCTCATTTTGCAGACGGGGAAACTGAGGTTCAGACATATGGAGCCACTTACAGCCACAAAAGCTCACTTTGCAGGACCTTCTGTATTAATCTCATTTTGCAGATGGGGAAACTGAGGCTCAGACACGTGAAGCCACTTACAGCAAAGGCCAGCCCCTACGTGGCACGGCTGGGATTCAGACTCAGGTCTGACTTGAAAACCTGCTCTCAGCACAGATTTCAGTAATGTCTATTTCTTAACAGTTTTGAAAGGTTGATTGGCCACGGCACTGTGCTGTACTTCAAAGGCTCACAGTCTAGCTGGGGGAAAACAGAAAACTGCTGAGCAATTGGCAAGTACAAGACAGCATCAAATTGGGGCAAAATTACTCTGACTTCTGTATTATGGAATCTTTTACACGGAGCCCAGGCTTTCCACACCTACCATAGCACACATGGCCCTGCACACCAGCACGGGGTCCCTCCTATCTGTGGGCTTGAGGGAGTTCTCACTCAGCAGGGAGATGCAGCAGTCCAGGACATTTTTCTCAAACTATTTTGGGAAATAAAGAAAGAGGTGGTTAAGACCTTGCCCTGTGGCAGAAACTTAACACATACTGTGTAATTTGCATATCACAGCCACCCTATAGCATAACCCATCTTTCCTGCCTACAGTCTCATAAAATGTCCACCACAGCATTAAAAATTAGAAACATTTAAATGTCTGGCCACAGGGCAATAGCTAAGTAAGTTTATAGAGCAATAGCATGCAGCCACTAAAAGGCAGTACAAGAAGTTTTTTAACCATGGGGAAAATTCCTTTGTAATCAAGTCAAATAAATAAAACAGGCCACGTGTGGTGGCTCACGTCTGTAATCCCAGTACTTTGGGAGGTGATCATCTGAGATTGGGAGTTCAAGACCAGCCTGATCATGGAAAAGCCACCCCTCCATGTGTCTCTCATGGGAGGTCTCGTGGGAGGGCTTCTGCCTAGGACTCCACCCCATCTGTGCAGCCTGGGCAGGTCACCCCTCTCTGGCCAAGTTTCACATGTATGAGACTAGTGTTTGACCTGAGGTTCACAAACCTTTCTCCACAACCTTTACTGGCTACTACCCAACTAAAAGGTTGGTCTAGCAAATGGGGCCTGGTCTAGCCACATGATGACAAATCATTACCTGACCAAAGATCCAGGGTCTGTATTTGATACTTCTGGGAACCCCCACGTAATGGCCGCCCGTGTCGTTGAGGATGTACTCTTTACGCTCCTCCTCGTCAGGCATGAAAACCATGTCCTCTGAAGGAAACCACACATCCACAGAGGTTATGGCACACCCTGGGACAGCGGCACACTTGCCACTGAGGACTATCTGTGCTGGGGGATCTTCAAGGTCTTTGTGAGGGACTTAGAACAGCCAATGCTGCGGGAGGGAGGTGGGCAGGAGGGAATGTATCAAAAGAACTTCCTGAGCCAGCTGTAGGCGACTTCCCCTGGGGAAATCTGGAGCATTTTAAGCATGAGTTAAGAAAAGGATGAATCATAAACCACTGAAAAGAGAGAGTTCATGAGTCCATACAGATGGTAGAGAGAAAGAGATGGATGGGGGTGAAGGGAGGGCTCTGCCTACAGGAAGTGTCAGGCGGTAGCAGGTAAACATGGTGGAGTGCTGGCCTTGGAAAATCACTGTGCAGCCGTCACAGTGAAGAATGGTTGAAGCAAGAACTATCAGTGGATGCTAAATCTAGGGGCGGAGAATTTTGATGAGGATCAGGATATCTGGATGGTCTTAAAATGTGTCCACATAGATTACTCATTACAAAAAATTATAAAGTAACTATATAGCAAAAAAACTGGACAACGCCTTGACCGAATGATCACATTCAACATTCCCAGCAAGGGGCAGGCAGACACTGTGTGCCTCCAGATATGATTTTCTGAGAAGGACATGTCATTTACATGATATTCCGCAAGGACTGCATAACCTGAATCTAAAGATGACAAATCATGAGACCCAAAATGATGAATGATCTGTTAAAAGGGGGACTTCTATTCCTCAAAAACATGTCAAAAAAGACAAAGGCTGAGAAATTGTTCCAGATTAAAGGAGGTAAAGAAACATAACTATATGCAAAATACAATTCTAGACTGGATCCTGTTTTGGAGGGAAAAAAATGTTATAAAGAACATGATAAAATCAACTGACCGGCTGGGCAGGGTGGCTCACACCTGTAATCCCAGAACTATGGAAGGCCAAGGCAGGCGAATCACCTGAGGTCAGGAGTTCGAGACCAGCCTGGCCAACATGGTGAAACCTCATCTCTACTAAAAATACAAAAATTAGCTGGGCGTGGTGGCATGAGCCTGTAATCCCAGCTACTCGGGAGGCTGAGGCAGGAGAATCACCTGAACCCAGGAGACGAGGTTTCAGCGAGCTGAGATGGCACGATTGCACTCCAGCCTGGGCAACAACAGTGAAATTCCATCTCAAAAATAAACAAATAAATGATCAAGTGTCCAAACGGGAATATAGATAGCAGATGACAGTGTTATGCTAACACTTAATTTACTGAAGTTGATAACTGTCCTGTGGTTATATGAGAGAATATCCCTGTTATTAGGGAATATACCTTAAAGGGTTTAGGGGTAAAAAACCAACTTATATGTAACTTACTGTCAAATGGTTCAAAAATAATAAGCACACATGCAGGTGTGTGTAGAGGCGGGAGGGAGGGAAAATGATTAAGTAAATGGGGCAAAATGTTAACAATAGGTGAGCCTGGATAAAGGGTATAGGTTGTTCTTTATATCATTTTTGCAACTTTTCTGTGAGCTCAAAATCATTTCCAAATACAAAGTTTAAAAAAAGAGCTCCTTGGCTTCTAGCATGGGCACCTGATGTCTTTTGACTTCAAGAAGGCCGCAGGAGGAGGGGCAGGTATGAAAAAGGGTTGACACAGAATGTGCTGCATTTGAGGCTGCAACAAGATGTCCAGCACCCTCTGGAGAGAAGCCAGTGCTGGCAATGGCAGAAGTAGCCTCTAGTGCCATTTGTATAAAGGTTCCACTGTAGCCACAGGAAGAAGTGAGCTGGTACATGAGGAGGTGGAGAGAAGAGAACAGAACTAAGGGAGCAGAAGGGAGAAACCAACTGCAATCCAGGCTCTGCCCCAGAGTTGGCAAGGAAGAAGTCCTTACTTGTCCCTCCCCACCCCCACCAAGGCAGCGTCTGTACAGTGGTGGAGGCAGAAGTGTGCTGGGGCAGGGCAAGGCATTAGGGAGAAGTGGAAATGGGGAATAAAGAACTCCATTCTAAAAAGCCTGGTGACAAAGAAAATGTCCCAATGGTGTCTGTGACCTGTTCCTGGATCACGTCCCTTAAACTAGTTTGCAAGTACCTTGAGAGCAAACAGAAGCTCATAGACTATGCATTACACACAACAGGTGTTGCCCGGGGCACCTGCCACTCCCCAGCAGACCTGAGATTCATAGTACCTTTACACCACGGGTTGAAGAGAAGGTATAGGATGTTTTCCTCAGACTTAAGGATGTGGCTTCCAGTTTTCACATGTAGTTGGTAACGCCCCACGATGGCATTGGGGGTGCTGGTGACAGCCACTGTGACCTGAGCAAACCACAAGATAAGGTGGACACCATACCCTCTGGCCAGATCCCAAATCCTACAAATGTTTCCCAGAAAAATCCATCACTCCTAACAAATCATCCCATCTGGAACCTGCCCGGAGACAAGGAATGGTCAGGACCCTGGACAGCCAGGAGTGCTCTTGCAAGGGAAGGATGCATGCGACAGAAAAGCAGCCGCACACAGCACAAGGCTTTGGCAAGTCCTTCAAGAGCCCTAGACACACTGGACTCGAGAAGCTGGTGGACATTTTCACCTCTCCGAACTTCGCTCCCTTCACCACAGCCTGAAGGTGATACCATCTCCAGGTTGTTGGGAAAATGCTGTAGATAAAACACAAAAGGTACTGACATAGTTGGCTCTGTGTCCCCACCCAAATCTCACCTCAAATTATAATCCCAATAATCCCCACATGTTGAGGGAGGGACCTGGTGGGAGGTGACTAGATCATGAGGGTAGTTTCCCTCATGCTGTTCTGGTGACAGTGAGTGAGTTCTCATGGGAGCTGATGGTTTTATAAGACAGTTTTCCCTGCTCTTGTTCTCTCTCTCACCTGCTACCATGTAAAATGTGCCTGCTTCCCCTTCTGCCATGATTGTAAGTTTCCTGAGGTGTCCCCAGCCATGTGGAACTGTGAGTCAATTAAACTCCTTTTCTTTATAAATTAACAGTCTCAGGTATTTCTTTAGAGCAGTGCAAAAATTGACTAAGACAGGTGTGTAGCTCATTGCCTGGAACTTCAGGGGAAAGGTTAAATGTCAGCTGTCTTTGGAGCACAAAGCACCTTTCTCTTGGAATACAAGCAGCCAGAGTCCCAGAGGGCCATTGGTCCAAGGGTGTCCAGGCCTTTATCCAGCCTTTGAGGATAAATAATAACTAGAGAGATAATTAGGATAAATCAATATTGCTGTAGCCACAATGGTACCAGCAATAATTCTCATCATTGTCACAGAACACTTTCATTGTGGCCCAAGATCCTCCCATGAGGTGCTTATTATTATAAGATAACTCACAGGAGGAATAGGCTCTCAGTTCAAATCCCAATTCCACCCCCCACCTTTTTTGAGACAGTCTTTCTCTGTCACCCAGGCTGGAGTGCAATGGCACAAACATGGCTCATTGCAGCATTGAACTCCCGGGGTCAAGCAATTCTCCTACCTTAGGCTCCCAACTAGCTGGAACTACAGGTGCTCACCACCACATCTGGATAATTATTTCTTTTTTTTTTTTAAGTAGAGATGGGGTATCCCTGTGTTGCTCAGGCTAGCCAGCTCTACCTCTTACTGGCTATATTAACTTGGCTGGTTACTTAACCTCTCTTGTGCCTCAGTTCCCTTCTTTAAGAATTTGGAATAACAGATCCCCTTCTTTGTGGGTGCATTGTGAAAACTAAACAAGCTAATATATATAAACATTTCACTGTCATCATTTTGCTGGTGGGGAAACAGGTTCACAGAGGTGGCCCAAGAAGTAGAACTGGGATGAACCTCACTGTGCTACGACTCCAGAATCCACAAGGCTAACTCCCGATACCCTTCTCGTGGCACGGGGGAGGAGGTTGTGCCCTCAGTGTTCATTACAATGGAGCCCAGAAGAACCGGCCTTCCAGGGTGCAGGAAATGTCCTCCACCATCTGGGTGGTGGTCCCACGGCTCTATTCATATGCAAAAATTCATTGCACAAACCGTTAAGATTTCTGTCCTTTAAGTGTGTTACATGTCAATTTAAAAAACTTTTAAAATAACACTTTTTGAGTAAAGAAATGCAGCTCCTGCCCACACCCCATGCCCACCTCGGAAGAGATTTTCTTGATACCCTAAAAAACACTCAAATGCAAAATTACGGTTGGGAGTCTGGGATCTGGATGGGAGGGAGAGGAAGGAAGAGCCCGAGGCACTAGGGGGGATTCCAGCAGTAGCTGGCCCATTCATCTCATTTCCACCAGCAGATTCTGCTTCTACAAAAACCCAATGTAATTGCCATTTTAAAATCATGGCATTAGCCTAGCATTAAACTTCTAGGGATTTAGCCTAAGGAAATATCCACAAGCTAGTCCGAAGATCTGGCTGAGAGATGAAGACTGGAGACAACTGTGAACACCCGGCGCTCCCCAAAAGGGTGGAAAACCAGCCACCATAAGCCCACAGTTGTGGGCAGGAGCCATTGTGGAAAGCGTTCATTAGGCCTTGTCAAGCGAGCGAAGCTTGAGGTGGACTACCCCCACTTTGTATTTGACCATGACATAGAAAAGCCTGGCAGGAAGGATGGGTAACTTAATTGGTCGAACCACGGGTTATTTTTATGTACTTCTCTCCGCTTTTGTCCTCCAGTGAACATGGTTCCCTTTGAAATGAAAAGGAGAAGGGTGACAGGTAGGGGTTTGGCCACAGTCAGAGGTACTCTGTGCTTGGAGGAGGCGGAGGGGGGAAACAGACGTTTGGAGACATGACCCCCTCTGTCATGCTCTGCCATGGATGGCTTTAAACCACATTACCGACTGACAGGTGGCAAAGCAGATAGGGGCTGCTTCCATTAGGAGGAATCCGCCAGCCCGGTGGGTGCTCACCTCTTTGCCAGACTCCTCGTGAAGGGATGCCTGCCAATTGTGGTGGTCTGAGGGTGTCCTCGGGTTGAGCTCCACCAGGGTGTGTCTGGCAATACTAGGATTCAGCCCTGGAGACACGCAAAAGGAACAGAGTCTTGACATTGGCCCAGCCATGGGCCACCCCCCAAGACAATCTCCCCTGCTTCAGGGGCACCTACTGCCCACTCACGAGGCCCCCATCCCTCCTGTCCAGGCTTATTTGTCCCCTGGCTCCCTGGGTCCAGCTTCTCTAATTCTGCAGGTACCTTCCTCTGCCCCACATGGCCAGTTTTAGTTTTCTACTCAATTTAGATGAGCTCCCTGCCTCCTCCTCTCCGCGTCTTCCCTTTTTTCCCATCAGGTCCAGTCCTCCCCCTAGAGCTCCTGCCTCTGTCACGTGCTCACTGGAGTTACTGTTGGTTTAACCCCCACTGGCTAGTGCCACAGCCCCACAAGCTGGTCCACTCCGCGTAATGCAGGGGAACAGCTTAGCCTTTGCTCCTCTCATCTGGAGGAGGCAGATGCCACCGCCTACCCTGCACGCTGTCATGGGATCTTCTTTGAAAGATCAGCCAGGTTATGTTATGAGCTCCAGGGACTACTGGAATCAAACCCAACCTCTTTTCATAGCCCGCAGGTGGCCCTCAGTGAGGCTTCTCTCCAACTCCCCCTTTTCCTCCCTGTCATGACTGGGTTTCTGGTCCCCAGAGACTTAGCTCATGACAAACAGCACGTGACCACAAGTGTTGTCTCCTCAGGGCCCTGGCACTTGCCATGCTTGTGGCTGGGAACACCCTGCTCTCAGCTCTTCACATGGTGGCTCCTGCGTGGGACGTGGGTCTCAGCAGGGTCACTTCCCAAGGAAGTCTTTCCAACCCCGACAGAGTCAGCCTCGCCCTGATCTGCTGCTTTCTCTCTTGCTGGAGGAGCCTCTTGTTTTGGTTTCTTCATCATATTTGGCCCTGTCTGAAATTATCTTTTGTTCGTTTGTTGCTTTCTCTGCTAGTACGGTCAGGTCTAGGAGGCAAGGACCGCTTTACCTCTGGGTTCCCTGGCACAAAGTAGGTATTCAACAAACACTTGCTGAGTGAGGAAGTCTCACTGCATCACACATGGAGAGTGCTCAGTGCAACGCCTGATGTGTGGCAGGTGCTCAGGAAATTCTGGGTGAGGGAATGCACGTGGACTCAGGGCCAGTATAAAGTCACCGAAGTCAGTGACAGCAAGGTTCCAGTCCATGGTTGAACAGGCAGCTCATGGCACGGCACACAGTAGGTGCTTATTTCATATTGGATGAAGCGAACGGAGGCTGTTCTGACTGATCTCCACCAGCATGGTGGAGGAGACCCTATGCCTGTCATTCACTCAGAGAAGGAGCAAAAGGAGCTCTCTCCCAGGAAGTGCTATTGGATGCCCTCTTGTAAAGTAGATCTACTTGATCTCATTTTTTTTTTTTTTTGAGACAGAGTTTCACTCTTGTCACCAGTATGAAGTGCAATGGCGCCACCTCACCTCACTGTAACCTCTGCCTCCCAGGTTCAAGCGATTCTCCTACCTCAGTCTCCTGAGTAGCTGGGATTACAGGCACCCATCACTATGCCCTACTAATTTTTGTATTTTTAGTAGAGATGAGGTTTCACCATGTTGGCCAGGCTGGTCTTGAACTCCTGACCTCAGGTGATCTGCCTGCCTCGGCCTCCCAAAGTGCTGGGATTACAGGCATGAGCCGCCATGCCTGGCTTACTTGAACTATTTTTAAAACTTAAAAACATTAAAGAAGACCCTCCTCCATTATCCTACCACAAGATCTAATACATTTTCTCTCTGTTCCCCTAGTTGTACTTATGCACACATATTTACCTAACTATAACAAATGCGTGAGCCTTTTCCTATTATCTTTGCAACCAAAATGTGATATTTTAATCATTATTACTGCTTGCCTCCAGCCCACCCAGCTATGGCGTCAGCATACCTCAGTCCTATGATTCATCTCTACACAATGTTCCAGACCCCACCGAAGCAGATGCCTGCTGAGTCGCCTCCTCCCTCTGCTCTGGCCCCTCCACTGCTTAGCCAAGGAATCGGAGCCTCACTGTGTGCCAGGTCCTGACTGAGCTTCCATTTTACTCTCATCATACCTCCTAATATTCCCGCTTCACAGATGGAGAAACTGGGGATCAGGGAGGGGAAGGCACTCCTGGCTCACACTGGCCGGAAAGGGCCACTCCAGCATCCAGGGACCTGTGTGGTCCCTCCCCCAAGCCCACAAGTACGGCCCCGAGGCTTCACCTGTGCCGAATTGCAGTTTCAGTTCGTGGTAGGATTGCAGAGGCTGGTTCAGCGCCAGCCGCAGGTGAAACACCTGCCCTCGCCGGAACACAGGACTGCTCGTTTGGAACTCCCTCGTGTGGTGAGAAATGGCGTTCTCCTGCTTCAAGAAGTCAACATGGAGAACCTGCAGCTCTGTCAGCAACACAGCACGTGGGGAAAGAGCACAGAGAATGTTTATTCCCTGATCACCTCCTCCTGGGTTTAAAATCTGACAGTTTGTGGAGGCGGAGCCGGGCTTTCAAGTCGGGCATCCCAGCTCCACCTCTGACTGGCTATGAATCTGTCTGAGACTCAGTTTCCTCACCTGTAAGATAAGCGTGCATGTACCTACCTTGTGGGGTTACATGGGGATGAGCTGAGAGCAGTGGACTCAAGTGCTCAGTCACGTAACCCTGAAAGGTAGGTAGCTGCATGCTCACCTTACAGGTAAGGAAACTGAGTCTCAGACAGTGAGTCTGTGAGTGGCTGTTAGGCAAGGCCCCCTCCCCAACTACCCCTCTCTGCAGACATGGCCTCAGGAAAACGCTGGAGCCAGGATGTTCTCCGTTAATCAACTCAGAAGCTGGAGGGAAAGAGGGGATCAGGCAAATTGAGGAGAGAACAGATGATCCCTGGGGTTGCCCCACTTCCTGTTCAGCCCAGACTCCCATCAGCTTCCAATCAGACAACATCCTGAGGCCAGAGTTCACATCCTGAAGGAAGGGTGGGGTGCAAAGTGGCTGGGGTGAAGCCTTTTGATCCAAATAGAGGAAGAAGCACCAAGGATTCCCATGATCGGAGGCCAAGACCACTTGCATTATAAATGGGACTTTTAAGGCCGGACACAGTGGCTCGCTCCTGTAATCCCAGCACCTTGGGAGGCTGACAGGGGCGGATCACCTGAGGTCAGGAGCCGAGACTGAGCCAATGCACTCCAGACTGGGTGACAGAGTGGGACTCCATTCCCCCCCAAAAGAAAAGGGGGGATGTTTTTCTTCAATGCTGAAGTGAAAAGTACATCTGGTAAAAGAAATACTCTCCACATGCATAATACACCCTTTTCTGTAACCCATGTCTTTTTTACCATGTGTCTGTTATAATGACATTTCTTTGTGTTACCTCAGCTTAGAACCCAAACCCCTCCCCTTCATCTAAAATTCAAACTATTCCCAGGCTCATGAGTCATGAAGGGAAATGTGTTTTGGCTGCACGTTGAAACCACCTGGAGGGGCGGGTATAAAACTGTATATGTTTTCCCCCAACAACTCTAATACAATTGATCTGAGTGGGGCAGAGCCTCTGTGTTTTCAACGCTTTCCAGGCAATTCCAGTGGGCAGAGGGCGTGGTAAAACACAGACTGCCAGGCCCACCCGAGTTTCTGAATCAGCACATCTGGGGTGTGGCTGAGAATTCGCCTCTCCAGCAGCTTCCTTGATGACTCTGACACTGCTGGCCCAGGGAACACACATTGAGAACCCCCAGATTAGGAAGCCCTACTGTGGCCTGTGAGGTAAACTGGGGTGAGATGCAGGGATCTTGCCCTGCTCCAGAGGGCTCACCCACAGAGGGAACTCATCCTCTGCAGAGATCATGGAGGCCAGCCATGGACACATGGGCTTTCGTGACTACAAAATGGATGGAGTGGTCACGCCCACATCAGAGGGCTACCTTGGGGATGTGGTCAGTGATGTGTCTGGAGACAGCCAGCTCACTCTTGATGGAGTGGCTTTGGGATTGGGGTCTGGACAAGTGTTCTCCAGGAAGGCAAGCCCCCAGCAAGCGGCCTTCCTTCCACACTGCTGCACAGGGCCTGGGAACCTGCTCCCTCCAGCAGGGAGGCCACCTGGCAGACAACCTACCTTCCCAGGTGTCTCCCCTTTTTGGGCTAAAATCTTGGGGTGGGCCCATGGCTAGCTGGAGCATCTTAGCCCATTTGTGCTGCTGTGATGGAACACCTGAGACTGCACCATTTAGAAAGAATAGAAATTTACTTCTGACAGTTCTTACAAACAACCATTCCAGATGAAAGGTCTGGATGAGCATAAGAGACCACTGAAAAAAAGTAAAGTTATGATTGCTGAATGAGACACACAGAAAAAAAACATGTCACAACTAATTGTTAAAGGAATTGAACACATCCTGTGTGACTCCACTGGAGAGGACTCTTGGAAGCACCTGCTAGTTCCCACAGGACCTCACCCCATGTGCCTCTTCCCTTTGCTGATTTTTCTTTGTACCTTTGCCACAATAAATCACATCCCCCTCATAGTGTCCATATTGCTGTCTGAGGCTACCGCCACCTGCCAGCAGGCACTGCTGGACAGTCTCCTTCCTTGACTGCTTGTGGGAGCGCAGCCTCAGCAGAATGCATACCAGTTATGAAAAATTTGAAACATCACCTCTTTCTGTAGAGGTCTGGGATTCCCCCAAACTAAGAAAATAAAATAAACAGTTGTCCTTGGCTCATAGGCATAAATTGACTCCTAGTCACAGTTGTCACTGGTTTAGGGGATAAATGCCAATCCTCTTTGGGGTGATTTATTCTCCACCAAAGTTTTATGGAATTCCCACAGATAAAGTCACACTCAAGGTGAGCTTATAGCCCTAAATTTTAAAACAAAAAATCCACTATTTCAGCAGAAACCACACAAGTATTCTTCCAAGAAATCAGATAATACACAGACTATGAAATAAGGTATAGAGACTATGGACCAGGTGCAGTGGCTCATGCCTATAATCCCAGCACTTTGGGAGGCTGAGGTGGGAGGATCCCTTGAGCCCAGGAGTTCAAGACCAGTCTGGACAACATAGGGAAACCCTGTCTTTTCAAAAAAATTTTTTTTTAGTTAGCTGAGAATGATGGTGTGCACATGCAGTCTCAGCTACTTGGGAGGCTGAGGCAAGAGTTTCACTTGGGCCTGGGAGGTCAAGACTGCAGTGAGCCATGTTCACACCACTACACTACAGCCTGGGTGACAGAGTGAGACCTTACTTCAAAAAATAATAAATAAAATAAAATATTTAGGCCGGGCGTGGTGGCTCACACCTGTAATCCCAGCCCTTTGGAAGGCTGAGGCAGGTGGATCACAAGGTCAAGAGATCAAGACCATCCTGGCCAAGACGGTGAAACCCCATCTCTATTAAAAGTACAAAAAAATTATCCAGGCGTAGTGGCACGCGCCTGTGGTCCTAGCTACTTGGAAGGCTGAGGTAGAAGAATCACTTGAACCCAGGAGGCAGAGGTTGCAGTGAGCTGAGATTGTGCCACTGCACTGGAGCCTGGTGACAGAGCAAGGCCCCGTCTCAAAAATAAAATAAAATATTTAAAAATATATATACAGACCATAAAATAGCCAAGTCAAAAAATGGCTAGGGACATAAGAGAAGGAATCAAAACTATGAGAAAGGAATGAGCCACTATTAAGAATGACCAGATAAGTTTCTTAAAACATAACTTCTAAAAATAAAAATGTGGTTCTTGAAATGAAAAGAAGTCACAGTTAAATGACAAAGAGACATAACTGAAAGAGAATCAGTGAACTAGAAAACAGACTGGAAACAAATACCTATAACACAACCTAGAGAAATATGAATAGAAGTAAATATGAAAAGCAGTTTAGAGATGTGGAGTCTTGGATGAAAAAGTCTAAAGTATTTACTCTAGTTGTTCTGAAAAGAGAGAATCAAGACTGGGGAGCAGCAGCAACGAGGTGGTGGTTGAGAACTTTCCAGAATGAATGAGAGATATGAATCCTCTTATTTAGGAATCACAAAGAATCACAAATAGGATAAAGAAAAGGCCGGGTGCAGTGGCTCACACCTGTAATCCCAGCACTTTGGGAGGCTGAGGTAGGTGGATCACTTGAGGCCAGGAGTTCGTGACCAGCCTGGCCAACATGGTGAAACGCCGTCTCTACTAAAAATACAAAAATTAGCTGGGTATGGTGGCACGTGCCTGTAATCCTCACTGCTCAGGAGGCTGAGGTAGGACAGTCACTTGAACCTGAGAGGCGGAGGCTGCAGTGAGCCGAGATCACATCACTGCACTCCAGCCTGGGTGATCGAGTGAAACCTTGTCTCAAATAAATAAATAAATAAATAAATAAAAGTAATAAATGCCCATTGCAAAAATTAAGTCTCTCTCCCATCCCAGACTTTCAGATCCCTTCTCCAGAGAAAATCACTATAAAGTATCCAATATCTTTCCAGTTTTCTCTGCCATAAACCAATACTTTAGTTACACAAACATAAGCTTTCTCAATACACTATTCTGTACCTTGCTTCCCTCTCTTTCTCCCTCTTTCTCTCTCATACACATATCTTGAAATTTATCTCCTAACCACCCAACTAGATCTTCTTATTTTTTTAATTTTTTTTTTGAGACAGTCTCATTCTGTTGCCCAGGCTGGAGTGCAATGGAGTGATCACAGCTCACTGCAGCCTCGACTTCCCCGGCTGAACCAATCCTCCCACTTCAGCCTCCTGAGTAGCTGGCACTACAGGCATGCCCCACCACACCCAGCTAATTTTTTCATTTTTCATGAACAGGGGGTCTCCCTATGTTGCCCAGGCTGGTTTCAACCTTGTTATTTTCAGTAGCTACTATCCCTGTGGATGGACATGTAGATTGTTTAAAATCTTACATGCTACAGTGTACTTCCTTGTCAGTATATCTTTGCACTCATGTGTGGCAATATTTGTAAGAGAAATCTTCCAAAGCAGAACTGCTGTGTCACAGGATATGGGCATCTTTAATTTCAGTAAATGCTGCCACAGAGCCTTCTAGTGACTGCATCAGTGACTCTCCTACAAAAAGATGAGAAGATGCCTTTTTAAAGCTTTTTACTATTAAACTTCTAATCTTGGTCAATCTGATAAATGAAAAAATGAAATCTCAGTGCTGTTTTGCTTATTTATTTATTTTTATTTTTTAATTAGTTATTTATTTATTTTTAGAGATGGGGTTTCTCCATGTTGGTCAGGCTGGTCTTGAACTCTTGACCTCAGGTGATCCACCCGCCTCGGCCTCCCAAAGTGCTGGGATTACAGGCATGAGCCACTGCGCCTGGCCCTACTTTTTTTTTTCTTTAGGAGACAGAGTCTTGGCCTGTCACCCAGGCTGAAGTGCAGTGGCACACACATGGCTCACTGCAGTCTTGAACCTGAGTAGCTGGAACTGCTGATGTATACCACCATGCCTGGCTAATTTTTATTTTTATTTATTTATTTATTTATTTATTTATTTATTTTTGAGATAAAGTCTCACTCTGTTGCCCAGGCTGGAGTGTAGTGGTGCAGTCTCAGGTCACTGCAGCCTCTGCCTTCCAGGTTCAAGTGATTCTCATTCCTCAGTCTCCTGAGTAGCTGGCGCTACAGCTGTGCGCCACAATGCCTGGCTAATTTTTGTATTTTTTTTAGTAGAGATGAGGTTTCACCATGATGGCCAGGCTTGTCTCTAACTTCTGATCTCAAGTAATCTGCCCGCCTTGGCCTCCCAAAGTGCTGAAATTATAGGCATGAGCCACCGTGCCGGGCCGTGGCTAATTTTTAAATTGTTTTGTGGAGACAGGGACTCGCTGTTTCCCAGGCTTGAACCTGGGAGGCGGAGGCTCCCAGGGCTCAAGCAATCCTCCCAAATTTTTGGTATTATATGCATGAGCCACCGCACCTGGCCTCCCGTTTCAGTTTTATTTCATGACCACCCTCGTTCCAAGTAAGGTTATCTTTTCATATATTACAATTTATATTTCCTTTTCTTCGAACTACCTAATACTGTTCTTTGTCCATGTATATTTTGGGATGTTGGTCATTCTCCTATATATCTGTGACAGCTCTTTTTATACTACAGAATAGCATTTATTTCTCATATGTGTTGAAAGTACCCTTCACAGTTCCATTACCTCTGACTCTATAAGTTTCGTCTCACATATATTTTAAATTTTTCTGCAGTCAGTTTTACCTTTCTTTTTCTTTATGTTTCAAGGTTTTCTATTTTCCTTTGTAACATCTTCTCTACTCCAAGACTATTTTTCATATTGCCTACATTTTCTTCTAATGCCTTTACAGTTTCATCTTTGACCTTCCTGGGATTTGTCATGGTGTAAACCAGGAGATAGAGATCTAGCTTTGTTTTTTCTCCAAATACTAGCCAGTTGTCCTAATACTACAACTTGCACAATTTCTCATTTCCTCTGCTTATATGAAATCCCACCTTTATCCCACACATACCACCATTTTCTAGGTCCCTATTTGGATGTCCTGACCTCCCAGAGTGGTTTGAAGAAGAAATGAAATAGTATTCATGAAAACATCGTGAAGTCATCACAACTCACTAATGTAAGGTGGCATGTGATGGTTACTTGCACAAGCCCATCAGAAAGGACACCTCAGGAGGTGTCAGCTCCCCCTACCAACACCCCTACACTGCTGGCCATGAGGTGACTGTCTTTGGTGATTTAGATCTTGAGAGTAAAGTCAAACTGCCTAGCAGGGAGGCAGCATGCTGCAGTATGAGATGAACACATGCCGGGTTTGCATCCCAGCTCTGCCACCCGTGGCTGGGACCTCAGGCAAGTCATCAGACCTCCCCAAGGAGCAGGCTGCTCCTCTTTAAAATGACAGTGTGGGTCAGGCGACGCTGCCTTTCCTTGTAATTTAGACAGCACTTTCACAGGATTGATGTGACTTTCCCAAAGCCACAGGGCTATTTAGTGCATGGCAGAGACGTGAATCCTCTCTCTCTCAAATCAGCAGGTGCTTCCCATCACACCACACCACGCTTCCTCAGTCCCAAGGACTCTTTACCCTTCAAGGCTGAGTCTAGGTGAGGCGTCAGCCATCTAAGGAGGAACTCAAAACTCTGTGGCCTTGGGACTAAAGAGTCTGATTTCTTTTTAAATGTCACCCTCCAAAAAAGGAGAAGCTGGAGGGTCTGGCTTAGTCCCTTTGCAGAGTTTCAAAGCAGCCATTCCTTAGCTATCAAGCAGCTTCTCAAGCAAGAGAGGAGGCTGCTGAGCAAACCCTGCTGGGAGGTCACAAAGGGCTTGGGGGCTGGGGAGTCGGCAGAGGGGTTCAAATCCAGCCTCATTGTTCCCTGGCAGCACCCAGGCTCCCTGAAGTAATATTGGGGGCTCTGGTGCCCTCTTGGTGGTGGTAGGGAGCTGCATCCTCATGGGGCATAGAGCCCAGCACATGAGCCCCCTCTGCTATTCCCCACTCTGAGAAGTAGTGACACTCTGCAGTAGGGAAATCCATCAGGTGACCTTGAGAAAGGACAAGACGCACTGAGAGACACACTCTACAAAATAACTGGTCTGTACTCCTCAAAAACGAAGTCATGAAGCTCCAACAACAGACAAACTGTTCCAGACAAAGGAGACCAAAGAGGCACGGCAACGGAATGCAAAGCCCGACACAGGATTTTCTTCTGCTATACATGACATTATTGGGACAGCTGGTGAAATCTGCGTAAAATCTATGGGTTGGATAACAGTACTGAAATGGTGTTCATGTCCTGGTTTTCATAATTGTATTGGCTACATAAGAGAATGTCCTTGTTTATAGGAAATACACATCAAAGTATTTAACAATGTAATGTCTACAACTTACACACGAGTTAAAAAAACAAAAACCTGGCCGGGCGCGGTGGCTCAAGCCTGTAATCCCAGCACTTTGGGAGGCCGAGGTGGGTGGATCACGAGGTCAAGAGATCGAGACCATCCTGGTCAACATGGTGAAACCCCACCTCTACTAAAACTACAAAAAATTAGCTGGGCATGGTGGTGCATGCCTGTAATCCCAGCTACTCAGGAGGCTGAGGCAGGAGAATTGCCTGAACCCAGGAGGCGGAGGTTGCGGTGAGCCGAGATCGTGCCATTGCACTCCAGCCAGGAAAAAAAAAACAAAACACCCTCTCAAAAAAAAAAAAAAAAAAAAAAAAAAAAAAAAAACCTATTTGTCTATCTACCAGTCTGTCTTTATCATCCATGTCATTTATTTGTCCACTGATTGATCAAGAAGGATAAAGAAAATGTGTTATTTAGGGAATCTGGATAAAAGATATATGGAAATTCTTCTTACTATTTTTGCAGTCTTTTTGTAAATCTGAAATTACGCCTAAATGAAAAGTTTGTTTTTTTGTTTTGTAAAAAGAGATGAGACAGACAGGAAGCAGCACAAGGGCCACATGTTAGAGTGAGAGGGCAATGGCCCCAGGCACCCAGCAGAGGCAAGAGTGGTTTAGGGCCAGCTGGCTGGAGGAGCACGCGGAGCTCCATGGAGATCTCACCCACTCACCTTTTGATGCGTCCATTGTCCCTTCAGCTTCTCTCCTGCAATGCCGGGGAAGACTCTGTCGCTGATGCCTGGTGCTTCCACAGGGTTGGTCCTCAGGGGGAGAGAACAGCCCTTTTTATGTGATCCTGGTCTAGATGTGACCCTGCTGTGGCTGCCAAGGGGCAGGGTTTGGGAAGGGGATGTTGATTAGAAATAATAAAATCCCGGAACCTTCCATATCAGACCTAGGAAATCAGGAGCCAAGATGAGCTGTTGTAAAAGGGACAGAAAATAGAGAATGGCACCTCCTTGTCTGTTATATGAGCCTGACAATGGGTCATCAAAAGCCAGGACTCCATGACCTCCACCACATGTGGCCTGACATTCTGGTTACCATCAAGATCAAGTCTAGGAACAGAGGCTAATCTTTACTGACTTGATGGTTTTCTTCTTGTTCTCTTTTCTTCAAGTTGGAAAAGTAAGAGACGCTTGTGAGTTTTTTGTTTTACATTTTGAATACATAATGCATCCAGATGGTTCAAAATTGAAGAAGGTCCCCCCCGTCACCTTGATGCATCCTACTACCAGTTTCTTTTAGCTCTTTCCAAAGATGTTGTATGCACTGAGAAGCAAATAATGTATTACTTTTATTTACACAAATGAAAGCATATCACTGTGTTGTCCAGACTGCTGTGTGGTCTCGAACTCCTAGGCTCAAGGGATCTTCCCACCTTCATCTCCCAAAGTACTAGGATTAGAGGTGTGAGCTACCATGCCTGGCAAGATGGAGCTGTTCCTATTGCACATGGAGAGGTGACCCAGTCTTTTCACAGCTGCACAGAGTCTGCGTGGATGGTCCCTAATGCATGTAGCTCACCTCCCATCCACAGGCATCTGAGTTGCTTCCAATATTTCCCTATTACAATCAGTGCTGCAATGAGTAAGTTGGTACAGAGATCATTTTACCCTAGTATGAGTGTATCTATAGGAGATACACTTGCCTTGAAGTGGAAATGTTGGGCCAAAGAGCAGAAGCTTTTGTAATTTTGATGGCTATCTGCTCTGCTCTCCACAGGGGCACCTGTGATATTTTTCAATGATGTTATGTCTACTGAAAGGAGCCAGCCTGGCATAGTAGCAGAAATGCCAGAGGAGGAGAGGAGACTCCTGACACTGAAACCCCAACACCACAGTAACTTCCTGTGTGTCACTAGGAATGTTGTCTTCATTAGCGCCTTACCTGAAAAGCAAGGGGACTGAATAATGATGCCAATGGTCTCTTCCAGACCAAAAGCCCAGGGATGGGCAATCACCTTTGCTGGCTTAAGGCACACCAGAGAGCGAAGACCCTGGTTACTTTGAGTAAAAATAATAAAGTCAGAGGTTTTTGCTGTTTTGCAGGCAAGCATCTCAGCCCCGCATTCCTAGATATAATAGAACAAACCAAGCCCTGAAATGCACATGGGATTTACAAAAATCCCTGGCTGGGCTCTGTCTGCAGAGAAGCCCTAGGACCTATGATTACAAGCTCAGGAATGGGAGAAGGATGGTTGCTTTTCTCTATAGTTCCTTTTGCATCCTCAGAATTTAGCACCATGTGCACGAATTACCTATTTAAGAATAAATTTACCACTTAAAGGGAAAAAGTCTCTGAATAAAAGTCCTGGCCTAGGGGTGAGAGGGTCCAGATATTACTTGCTTCACCTCTCTGGGCTTTCTTCATCATCTTTGACAAATGAGGGGCTTCTGCAAGATGAGATTTCATCAGTACCTTCCAGGCCAGAGAATCCAGGGTACCAGAGTGAGTATAAAAGTAAATAAAAGGAATAGACTTTGGGGTCAGACAGAACTGGGCCTCCATCCTAGGTCCTCTACAGACCCACTGTGTGACCTTGGGAAGTTACTTCTCTGTGCCTCTGTTTCCCCATCTGGGGGGTGGGAGATAATAACACCCATGCCACAGGTCAGGTATCTAAAGGAGGATGCTGTGAGGAGGTGAAGGCATTCCAAATTCTCTGCAAGAAATGAGCTATACCGGGGACCTTACAAAGGGCACCCAATCCCAACACCCTCATTTCACAGATAGAAGAAGTGCAGCCCAGAGACAGGCAGCCGCCTAGTGTCGGCAGAGGATCCCCAAGAGCCTCCCTTCCCTCTTCCTGCAACAGAACTTCCAGGCCTCAGCAGAGTGGGCCCTAATTTAGTTTTTTGTGCGTGTGGCATTTTATCTGTCAGCTTGTCCCAAAGCATCATCTATTCTTGCCTTTCCTGTCTGGGCCACAGCTGATACCAGGGTCTAGTCACAGGCCACTGGGGCTGTTAGCCCTGCGAAATGAAGTCACCACTAGTGTCTGGTGGCCAACCCCTGGTGTACTGGGATCAGAGGCAGCCCACTCAAGATCCTCTGCTCTTTGTTCTCCGAAGGGACCAGGCGCAGGCCCTGCCATGGGACAGGGGGCTATAAAGGTGCTGTCCCAGAAAGGTTGGCATGGTCTAAACTTCACATTAATCCACAGATAATGGAGCTGGGGAGAAGGGAGAAGAGGAAAAGGTAGGCAAGAAGAGCCTGGAAACCACCGGGTAAGGCGTGGGACAGAAGACACTTTTCAAGATGAAGTTCATACAGGACTTTAGCCAGGAATAGAATCTTCTCATTTTGCGTCCCTAGCCCATAGCATGGCACACAGTGCTCAGCAGAGGAGCATGAATAAATGAACGAGTAAGCAAACAGGACAGGGTGCTCTGGTGAGAGCCTGGGAGAGGCCCCAGGCCTGTGCCTGTGTGGCAGGTGCCTCCTGCAGCAGTCAGGGAAGACTGTGTCCCCTTCTCCCAATGCATGCTGGCAGTCCCTTTTGGAAGAAAAGCCCAATATGCACTGGTTTTGGGGATTCAAGCTCAATCCCTCACCCACCCCCCAATTCTGAGGATGAAAGAACAGCCAGGTCCCATCAGACTCTAGGCGCCACAGGGGCTGTTCATAGTGCTAAGCCCGGAGCTAAATCATGAAGATAGCCATCCTGATACGTTCCCCCCTTTTCTTGTAGAGACAGGGAGGAGTTAGTAAATATGCATCCACACATCTGTGGGAGCAAAATCTTTTCTTCTTGTATCTGAAGCTATAAATTCATCCCTAATCTATTTTCTTATTGTATATGTAAACAACTTTATAGGAGAAAATAAAAGAATCCAATAAATGCTGAAGTCACCTCTCATCAAGCTACTCCTAGTGCTTGCCATTGTACACGGATGTGTTTACACGGCATGGAGCAACCCTAGCACCTCGGGCCATGCCAGGCAGCCTGTCCTTCTGGACATTGTTAGGATCTGCCTATTTCAAATGCTCACCTCTGTTCATGGGCACATGATATTCTACCATATTTGCTTAACCATTTCTTAACTATCAGGCAACTAACTGCTACTAGCAATAATGCAGTTAGGAACCCTGTTGCCTAAATTGTGTATTTTTTTCTTTTAGATTGCCCCCCAGGTGTAGCATTAGGTCCAACTGCAGAGGGGACTGACTTTTAAACTCTGGCGAGGGGCTACCCCTTGATGGACCACACTGGTGACAATCAGGACTCGCTGCTGCAGACCTCTGGACAAGAAGAACTTTGGGGACCCTATTGAAGACCAGCAAGGGAACACTGAAGTAGTACAGACAGGACAGCTCTCAGCCTGGCTATCTGGGGTCCCAGCTCAGCTCCATCTATGACAAGCTGAGTGGATTTGGGGGAAATCTGAGCCCTCCAAGCCCTGGTTTCCCAAAGGAGCTGGATGGATCTGGAATTTAGTCACAACTTTCTGGCCAATCCAGCCCTGGAGTCAATTCCACTGTAATCAACACGGTCTGTCTCACCTCCCACCCTAACCTGTCTGATTCACCATACCTCCAGACTCTGGGCTGGGCTCTGCCATTGCTTACCGAGACCAGAGCCCAGAGTACACCTCGGCTAGCAAGGACAATCTTGGGGGTTTCTTGCTAAACAATAGCAGTAGTATTTGCATGTTTAATGACTGTTAAATGTGATCATTCTCATCTATCAGTGAAGTGTTATCTAAAAACATTTATGAAACTTACAAAAATCCCCCCCAAAAGAGTAATGTAAATTTACGTCTCCCTCATCAAGTTTGAGAAATAAAACTTTAGGGATACAACTGGAGCCTTCAGCCCCTTGCACATCCTTTCCCAATCCTAACTTCTAGTCCTCCCTCTCCCCAAAAGTAACTACTACTCTTAGTTCGGTATTTCAGTTTCCTTGTATATTTAAACGTACTTACTACACATATGGATATCTAAAATAATAGGTAGTATTGTTTTGAAGGGTTTTTTTTTAATAAAGTTATCATGCTTAACATGCCCTTCTACTTTTTTCCACTCCACATTATGAATTTGAGATTTTTTTCCATGTAATTCATGCTTCATTGTCACCACTGTATAGTATTCAACACACTGTTTGCTATAAGTTCTTTACTCTCCCATTGATATGATTGTTTCACATTTTTCTTAGTTATAAACACTGCTGCAGCCGGGTGCGGTGGCTCAAGCCTGTAATCCCAGCACTTTGGGAGGCCGAGGAGGGTGGATCACGAGGTCAAGAGATCGAGACCATCCTGGTCAACATGGTGAAACCCCATCTCTACTAAAAATACAAAAAATCAGCTGGGCATGGTGGTGCGTGCCTGTAATCCCAGCTACTCAGGAGGCTGAGGCAGGAGAATTGCCTGAACCCAGGAGGCGGAGGTTGCGGTGAGCCGAGATCGTGCCATTGCACTCCAACCTGGGTAACAAGAGTGAAACTCTGACTCAAAAAAAAAAAAAAAAAAAAAAAAAACCACTGCTGCAATAAGCATGTGTGTTCATGTCTCCTTGTGCACAAGTGAGAGTCTCCAGGACTGGAACTGCTGGCTCAAACAGTATGCACATCTTCTGTTTTGTCAGATGACAGTAAAATGTCTCCAGAGGGTTCTACTAATTTACACTCCCACCAGTAGCACATGGGAATTCACAGTGCTCCACAGCAATGGCCTTGCTTGTTCAACTTTGTAACTTTTGCTAATCTTGTATGAAATGGCATCAATGGTATCTTACTGAGTTCTCCCTAGCTTTATTGAGGTACAATTTATATCCAATAAAATTCACCCACTTTGGCTGGGTGTGGTGGCTCATGCTTGGAATCCCAGAATTTTGGGAGGCCAAGGCAGGTGGATCACAAGGCCAAGAGACTGAGACCATCCTGACTAACACGGTGAAACCCCGTCTCTATTAAAAATATAAAAAGTTAGCCAGGCATGGTGTCACACGCTTGTAGTCCCAGCTACTTGGGAGGCTGAGGCAGAAGAATCACTTGAACCCTAGAGGCGGAGGTTGCAGTGAGCTGAGATTGTGCCATTGCACTCCAGCCTGGGTGACAGGAGTGAGAGTCTGTCTCAAAAAATAATAAGAATAATTCACCCACTTTAAGTGTAGAATTTTAGTAGTTTTATACAGTTGTGTAATGACCACTATGATTAAGATGTAGAACAGAGCCATCACCCTAAAAAGTTCCCTCTTGCACTGATTCCCAGCCCTAAGCAACCACTGATCTGCCTTCTGTCACTGGTTTTGCCTTTTTTTTAATTACATATAAATGGAGCCATATGCTATATATTCTTTTTTAAGTCTGGCTTCTTTCACTTAGCATAATTATTTTACGATTCTCTATGTGATAGCATGTATCAATACTTTCTTCCTTTTTATTGCAGAGTAGTATTCCCTAGAATGAATGTGGGTGCCATCTGTCAACTCATCAGTTGCATCAGTCAACTCACGCCGCCATAACAAATACCACAGACCGCACGACTTAAACTTAACAGATACTTATTTTCTCACAGCTAGAAGTCCACGATCAATGTGCCGGCAAATTCACGTTCTGATGATGGTCCTTTTCCTGACTTGCCTTCTCCCCTTCTTGCTATGTCCTCAAATGACCTCTCCTCTGTGCATGTGCAGAGAGTCCTTCTTATAAGGACTCCTGTTCTATCGGATTAGAGTTCCACCTTTATGACCTCGGTTAAATTTATCTTCATAAAGCCCCATCTCCAAATACAGGCATACTGGGGTTTGGGGCTTTGACATCAACTTTGGTGGGACATAATTCAGTCTGTAACGGGGCTATTACGGATAACACTGCTATAAACATTCTTTTACAAGTGTTTATGTGGACATACGTTTCCATTTTTCTGTGACAAACACCTAGAAGGAGCAAGTATATGTTTAACTTTACAAGATACTGTTAAACTGTTTTACAAAATGGTTGTACCATGTTGCTGTACAATCAGCATTTACAGTTGCCTACACCTTCACCAATACTTGCTAATTTCAGTAATTTAAATTTTAGCCATTCTAGTAAATGTGCAGTAGTATGTCATTGTGGTTTTGATTTGTGTTTCCTTAATAACTAATGATATCATGTCTAATTTCAAGTGCATATCCATTACCTATATATCTTGTGAAGTGCCTGTTAAAACTTTTTGCCCACAAATTATTAGATTATCCTCTTAAGTTGCAAGAACTTTTTACATATTCTGGTTATAAGTCCTTTATCAGATACGTCTTTTTCAAGTATTTTCTCCCAGTCCGTGGCATACTTTTTCCTTTTCTTCTGCGGTTTTAATTTACATTTTCCTTAATACTAGTGAGGTTGAGCCTCTTCATGTGTTTATTGGCTGTTCAAGTTTCCTCTTCTACAAATTATCAACTCACAAACTTTCTTTTGAGGTATTTTGTCTTTTTCTTAATCATTTATAAAATCTGAGCAGCTTTGAGAAAATAATTTCTAAGAGCCCCCTCCAACTACCTACCTGAATCTTTCTGTTCCTGCCCTCACTGGGGGTGAGATGTCTGCGCTCCTTGCTAAGGGGCCAAACTGTCCACTTGTGCATCAGATCCTGCCTCACCTGCTCTGGCTTGGCACTCAATGCTCTCATCATCCCCTTCTTCCTGAATTTTCAAACTTCCCATGGATATGGGATCACTACTGTTAACATATATAAATATGCTGCTATTTTTCTATCTGAACCAAAAATGAAACAAAACCAAAACCCCTCTCTGGTTCCCATCTTTTCTGTGAGCCACTGCCCCAGAGAGCTCTACTCCTTTTATAGAAAAACTTGAGTCATCACCACTTGCCATCTCCAATTCCTCCTCTCACCATTCTTTTTCATGTTAATAAAAAAATTATAGTACAATATACATAAAATTTATCATCTTTATAATTTTTGTGTACAATTCAGTGGCATTAAGTACATTCATAATGTTGTGCAACCATCACCATTATCCATTTCAGAATTGTTTCAAACTGAAACACTGTACCCTTTAAACAATAACTGCCCATCCTCTCCTCCCCTCAGCCTGGGGTAACTATTGTTTCGCTTTCTGTTGCTATGAATTTGCCTATTCTAGGTACCATATGTATAATTCTACTTATATGACAAACCTAATATTTCACTCAGCAAAATGTTTTCAAAGTTCATCCATATTGTAACATGTATTGGAATTTCATTAGTTTTTACAGCTGAGTATTATTCCATTGTAAGTATATACCACATGTTTATTCATTCATCTGTTGATAAGACATTTGGGTCATTTCCATCTTTTGGGTATTGTAAATAATGCTGCTATGAACATTAGTGTACAAGTATCTATTTGAGTCCCTGTTTTCAATTATTTAGGGTATATAAATACCTAGAAGTGGAATTGCTGGGTCACATAATAATTCTAACCTTTTTTTTTTTGAGACGGCTCGCTCTTGTCACCCAGGCTGGAGTGCAGTGATGCGATCTCAGCTCACTGCAACCTTTGCCTCCCAGGTTCAAGTGATTCTTCCCTCAGCCTCTGGAGTAGCTGGGACTACAGGAACACACCACCATACCTATCTAATTTTTATATTTTTAGTAGAGACGGGGTTTCACCATGTTGGCCAGGCTGGTCTCGAACTCCTGACCTCATGATCCACCGGCCTTGCCCTCCCAAGCTGCTGGGATTACAGGTGTGAGCCACCACGCCCCAACTATGTTTTTAATTTTTATGGACTCATCATACTGTTTTCCACAACAGCTGAACCACTTTACATTCCCACCAGCAATGCACAAGGGTTCCAATTTTTCCACCCTCATCATCATTTGTTGTTTTTGTTTATAACAGCTATTCTAATGGGCGTGAAACGGTATCTCATTAGGGTTTTGATTTGCATTTCTCTAGTGACTAGTGATTGAGTATCTTTCATGTGTTTATCGGACATTTGTATCTCTTCCTTAGAGAGTTGTCTATTCAAGTTTTTTTTTCCTGTTTCTAGTTTTTTGAGTTGTTGAATTGTAAAAGTTCTTTATACATTCTGGATATTAATCCTTTATCAGATATGTGATTTGCAAATATCTCCCATTCTGTGAGTTGTGTGGCCACTCTCTTGATGGTGTCCTTTAATGCACAAGTTAATTTTTATAAGGCCCAATTTGATTTTTCATTTGTTGCTTATATTTTCAGTATCATAATCAAGAAATTATTGTCAAATCTAATTCGTGAAGACGTTCTCCTATTTTCTTCTAAGGGTTTTATTGTTTTAGCTTTTATGTTTAGATCTCTTATTCATTTTTAGTTCACTTTTGTATATCATGTAAGGTAAGGGTCCAACTTCATTCTTTTGCATGTGGATATACAGTTTTCTCATTACTATTTGTCAAAAGAACTGTTTTCTCTCCATTAAATGGTCTTGGCACCCTGTCAAAGAGTTTGTTTCTGGACTCTCTATATATTCCATTGGTCGTTATGTCTTTCTTCATGCCAGTACCACATTTTAAAAATCCATAGCTTTGTAACAATTTTTAAGTCAGAAAGTATGAGTCCTCCAACTTTTTTTTTTTCTCTCAAGGTTGTTTTGGCTATCTGGGGTCCCTTGAGATTCCATAAGAATTTTAGAAAGGGTCTATTTCTACAAAAAAAACATCATTGTGTTTTGACAGAGATTGAATTGAATCTGTAGATTGGTTTGGGTAGTACTGTCATCTTAATGATATTAGGTCTTCCAATTCATAAATAGAGAATGTCTATGACTTCCTTAATTTCTTAAAACAATGGTTTGTTGTTTTCAGTGAAAAAGTCTTTCACCTCCTTGGTTAAAATCATTCCTAAGTATTTTGTTCTTTCTGATGTAAATGGAATTGTTTTCTTAATTTCCTTTTCAGATTATTGTTAGTGTATAGAAATACAATTTGTTTTTGTGTTTATTTTGTATCCTGGAACTTTGCTGTATTTATTAACTCCTAACAGTTTTTTGGAATCTTTAGGGTTTCTACATACATAAAAGATCATATAATTTGTGAACAGTTAAAATTTTACTTTTTCCTTTCCAATTTAAATGCCCTTTCTTTTTCTTGCCTAATTGCTCTGGCTAGGACTTCCAGTATCATCTTTAATAGAAGTGGTGAAATCAGGCATTCTTGTCTTGTTCCTGATCTTGGGGGGAAAGCTTTCAGTCTTTTACCATTGACTGTACTGCTAGCTGTGGGTTTTTCATATATGGCCTTTAGCATGTTAAGGAAATTTCCTTCTATTCCTATTGATCATTTTTCTCATGAAAGGAGGTTACATTTTCTCCATTGCTTTCTGCATCGAAATGATCACTATTCCTTCTTGAATCTAATTCAATAAGCCTCTTGCCCTGTCACTCCTCAAAGCTGCTCTTACCAACGTTACCTCTTTGCTAATCCAAAGGCCATTTCTCAATCTTCAATTTACTTGACTCTTCAGCAGCATTAGCCCGGGTGATCATTGCCTTTCTCTGGAGATGATTCCAGGACACCACACTTGCAAATGACTTCACTGGCAATTTCCTCTTACTTACCTTGCTGGTTCTTTCACATGTTCCAGGATTCTAAACTTTGGAGTTCCCAGTTTCAGTCCTTGGACCTCTTCTCTCTAGAAGATGTCATCTAGTCTCATGGCTTCAAATGCCATCTCTATGCTGGTGACTCCCAGACATCTCCTTGAGCTCCTGAACCCTATATCCTACTGGTTACTGCCTACCCAACACTTTCACATGGATATATTACAAGCATCATAATTAACTGATTCAAAACTGAGCTCTTAATATTCCTACTCAATCAGATTCCTCTTCCAGTCTTCTTCATTTCATTATTGACATCTTCATTCTTCAAGTTGCTTAGGCCAAAACTACGGATTCATTATTGACCTCTCTTTCTCTCGCACCCACATCCTAGCTGTTGGCAAATCCTGTTGGTTCTGCTTTCAAAATGCATTATTTAGTCCATTACTTCTTGTCACCTTTACTGCTACCAAAACCTCCCTCTCCTCTCATTTGGATGGCTGAAGTGGCCCCTGAAAAGGTCTTCCTGCTTCTGCTCTAGCCTTCCACAGTGTGTTACCAGTACAATAGTGGTCCCTTTAGAACATCATTCAGATCAGCTCTCTTCTGCACTCTCAGAGTAAAAGCCAAAGTCCTTTCAATGGTCTGCAACAGGCCCTGAATTATCTGGCTCCTGTCACATGCTGATCTGGCAATGGATTCTTTGATATGACATCAAATGAAAAAACAAATAAAAAGTAAAAATAGACACATTGAATTTCATCAAAATAAAAAAACTTTTGTGCTTCAAGAGACGTCATTGAGAAAGTAAAAAACCCACAGGCCGGGCACGGTGGCTTACACCTGTAATCACAGCATTTTGGGAGGCCGAGGTGGGCAAATCACCTGAGGTTGGGAGATGGAGATCAGCCTGATCAACATGGATAAACCCCATCTCTACTAAAAATACAAAATTAGCAAGGCGTGGTGGCATATGCTTGTAATCCCAACTACTGGGGAGGCTAAGGCAAGAGAATCACTTAAACCCAGGAGGCAGAGGTTGCAATGAGCCGAGATGGTGCCATTGCATTCCAGCCCAGGCAACAAGAGCAAAACTCTGTCTTTAAAAAACAAACAAACAAACAAAAAAAAACACCCCACAGAATGGGAGAAAGTATTTGCATATCATATACCCAAAAAGGGACTTGTATGCAGAATACGGAAAGAAACTTTATAACTCATTAACGAAAATACAATCTAGTTTTAAAATGGGTAAATTCTTTAAATAGAATTTTTCCTAAGAAATTATATTTAAGAATATACAAATGACCAACAAGCACAGAAAAGATGCTTGACACTACTAGTCATTATGGAAATGCAAATCAAAACCACGAGATACTGGCAAGAGACTAGACTGGCAAGTATAAAAAAGATGGACAGGAGCAGTGTTGGCAAGGATGTGGAGGAACTGGGACACTCATACTCTGATGGTTAGAATGTAAAACGGTGCAACTGCTTTGGAAACAGTCTGGTAGTTCCTCAAAAAATTAAATATAGTTATATCATATCATAGTTACATCAGCAATTCCATTCCTAGGTATATACCCAATAGAATTGAAAACACATGTCCACACAAAAACATGTACACAATTGTTCAAAGCAGCATTATTCATAATAGCCAGAAAAGGGAAACAATCCAAAGGTCTAGCAAACGATGAACGGATAAACATAATGTGGTAGATCCACACAATGCAGTATTATTCAGTCATAAAAAGGAATGAGTAATTGATTCATGCCACAATAGGAAGGAGCCTTGAAAACACTGTGTAAGTGAAAAAAAGACCCAAAAGGCTATATATTGATGTTGCATAATCCATTTATATGAAATGTCCAGAACAGGCAAATCTATAGGCAGAAAGTGGATCCTTGATTGCCTTGGGCCAGGGTGAGGGTGAAATAGAAAATGACTACTAATGAGTACGAGGATTTCTTTTGGAGTGAGAAAAGTGTTCCGGAATTAGCTAGTGGTAATGGTTGAAAACCTTGTGAATCTACTAAAATACTACTGAATTGCACACTTTTAAAATTAAGTTAAAAAAAAAAAAAAGGAATGACTTATCAGGCCATTGGCTGTTGAACCTGGACGTCAAACTGCCAGCTCCAAGCAAACAAAATAAAGTTCAATCCATCATCCAAGATGCACACCAAAAAGACAAACATTGATATAGTATTGATATACTTTATGCTTATCAAGAGAATAAACCTCTGAAATGAGGAAAAGAGATACAGTAAACATTTCCTCAGCTTCACAGATGACGATAGAGGGGTATCGTTCTGCTTTCTGAAGAATTACTAATCTTCCTTTTAGAAAAACATCTTACATCTTGTACAAATGTACACCTTCTACAAACACATCTTGTACATCTTATACAAATACAGGCGTATTTGTTGAACTGAGTAACAGGGTTCCAAGTCAACACCAACCACCTCTATGCATTCAGCAAGAATCTGAATGGGAAGCCAAGTCCCCTTAAGACAATGCTTGCTCCAAGATGGACTTCTTTCTGCCCTTTTCACTAACTGGCCAGGTAGGCCGACCACTGGCTGTCAACAGCCTTCAGGTCTGGCCTTGGCTCAGTGTCTGACCCACATCGTGAACACACCCTGGAGAGCTTTGAATGTCCTTCAGCTTCTTCACTAGTAGAATGGTGGGGTCAGACTACATCAGGGAGATGAACACTAGGGCCACTCAGAAAAGGTAGGTGGCTGGTGACCAAAGGGTTCTGAGATTTGGGCATGCTGAGTCACAATACGAAACAGGCCCCTTAAAGCAGGGCCTCTCTGGGCTTTAAGGTATTGTTGTGAGAAGCAGGACAGATGTAGGGACTGAGCTGAGCCCTGTCAGATTGGGCTGACATTGCGGTTTTGGTACTCCTCAGCTGTGTGATGTCAGGCAAATTATTCAACTTCCCAAAGCCTTAGTTTCATCACCTCTAATACAGGAAAAAGAGCAGCAGCTCCTCATGGGATGGCTGGGAGGCAATGTGTCAAAGTGGAGCTAAATGATTAACATTCTGTGAATCACAGCTTTGCTCTGGCTCCCACGGGAGCTCAAGGGTTTTGAAGAGCAGGAGTTTGCCACTGAGAGGTGAAGGTGAAGGGAACCCCAGAAAAGAGCAAGTGCAAAGCATGCAGGCAGGACTGGACATGGTGGATTTGAGAATGGCTGACATGCGCACATCTAGGGGGACTCAGCATGGTAGGGAGAGCACGAGGGAGATGGGGACTTAGGAGCTGTCGAGGAAGAGAACTCTTGGAGTGGTGGGCGAGGGCCAGATCCCCACCAGAAGGAGCCGTGGAATGGTTTTAGTAAGCTCATTCTGTCAACTGTGCTGACAACAGTAACAGAGGAGAGCAATGAAGATGCTACGTGGGAGAGGAGGAGGGCCTGGACAAGACCCTTCTCTCTCCTAGCCTCCTAGCCACCAGGTCCCTCTCAACTGCAGGAAATGTACGAAGAAAACCTGGGGCCAGAGACCAAGCTCAGGAGAGCTGAGAGTGCCCTCGCAAACCCCAGGGGAGAAGTGAGGCAGGCGAGTGCTGGGCTTGAAGCTCTGTGCTGGGAAAGTGCGCAGGCGGCACAGAGCCCACTTTGAACTAGGAATTACACTCACATGGTGTAAGACACAAAAAGAATCAAGGGGATCTGAGAAAGAAAAGCAAAGGACAGAAGAGCCCTAAAGGTAAAAGCTGGAGGAGGAGGGTGATGGGGAAGGGAGGGATTTCTGAGCCACTTTCTTTCCCTAGTAAGTAAAACAAGGTCTCCAAAGGGAGGTCAAACTTTTCTCCTTGAGAGCACCAGAAGAATGAACAGACCCTGTGCAGTTCAAAGAGCCTTAGCCTGTGTGGCCTCAGGAAGTAACCACAAGATCAAGCTCCAGCAGGTATCAGAGCAACTGAGGTCATGAGGCCTCTGTACCTGCCTCACTCTCCTGCCTCCTCCACACCACGGATTTCAGCTTACTCTGGCTCCCTCTTTCTCCAAAGGGTAGGAAAGAATTAAGATACCGTACCTAGTAGTTTTAACTTACAAAACAGTATTTATTAACCCAGTTTTCCTCTTCTTGCCATAATATATAAGCATGACATAGACGGCCTGATACATCAGCATGGAGTTGGTAGAAAGCCCCTCCAGTCACTGCTTCTTGACTTACATGACTGGCTTTTGTTAGGCAACAGGACAGTAACTGCAGCCGGTTTTAAGTACTATACACAAAGCAGACCAACCGCAGGATCTCCAGCATCTGCCAAGGCTCACTGGGGTGAGCAAGAATCCAAAGCACTGCACAGATGATCAAAAAGCTTCTCTGGCAGAATACTGTTGTGGCTGCAGCTCTCCTTACAGAGCCAGAGCTGTCCACCTTTAAGCCTACTCCGTCAGACGCCTGCTTCTCTTGAAAGGCCTGGCATCTTCCCTTGGCTGATGGTCAGGCTGCACACCTGGGATGCCCTCGGACATAGTCCCACATGCCAACCCAAGGCTGGGCCACCATCGTGATCTTTCCAGCTGGTTCATCCAGCCAAGTGGTGCTATTGCTGCTTGTGTGGAAGGGGCTTCCAGGTGAGCGGGAGCTTCCTGTGGATCAGGGTGAGTCCGCAGAGGATGAGGAACACTCCTCCCCACCACAAGACCTCCTGGCACTCTCCATACAGCACATAGCCCAGAAAGGCCTGTGGGACAAAGACAGCTGTGAGGGACTCGACTTCAGCAGGTGGGCACAACATCACTCTCCTTGGACTGACTTCCTTCTAAAAGGGCCAGGAAGAAAGGTCTGGACCCAGAAGCCTTGGCTTGAAACCCAGCTGTCACCTTCATCAAGTCACTCTATTCAGTCTCACCTGTAGGAATGGAGAGGCCACCTCACTCACTGCACTGGACCTCGGCAAAGTATACAAGAAAGACCCAGCAGAGGCCAGGAGGTAGAAGACACAGCTGGTACCTGGTGTTTCTTTCTCTCTCAACTCAATACTGACTAGGCTCAGCTCCATCTTGTCAACCTCAGACTACAGAGGGAAGAAAGGTCTCCAGGAATCCCAGCCCTCTAAATCTCATGGGGGCTTGAGTGCACAGAACCCTAGGAGGCAGCTAGGCTGCACAGTGACTTCAGGATGAGAGCTCCACCCTGAAGGCACAGCAAGCAAGTAGGTTTTTTACTGCCAGGCTTCACTCCTATCTAACTTGAGAATTCCTCTATGATTAGAATTAGATTTGCTCCATCAATAGAGCATGCATCCAGGGGTCAAGCCAGAGCCCAACCTCTGCTTCAGTTTCTGTCCTTTCTTCTGTCTGGGAAAGGAGGGGTTCCCCAAGGACAATTCACCCAGAACCCAGATTCAGGACAAGAACATCACACCCTCAGGCTACTCACCGAGCTGAGGATATTTGAAAAAGTCACTGTGACCGATGCAATGGCTGAAGACATGGAGAAACTGAGGCCCCGGCTAAAGAAGGTCCACATCAGAGAATTGGTGCTCGCCATCACGATAATGCCTAAGATGCATAAACCCATGCTCACCTGCAGGAGAAAGTGTCACTGCAGCCACGCCCACCCTGGCCTGGGCAGTAACCTGCAGACCCCCTCACAGCACACCCAGGGCTGTGGTTGCTGGCAGCCAGGCTTCTACTGAGATTCCATTACAGTTCAGAGAGCCTCACAGCTTTCCTACACAGGGCTTCACTTAACCCTCAGTGGACAGCAGATCCATCTTACAAATCATACAAACTCAGAGAAGACACTCATTTGGCCACCTTGCTGACCATGTGATCTAGGAAGAAGTAAAATGCCAATACAAAGCCAGTATTTTCTACTGAACACCAGCCCCTTATTGGTCCCACAATGACCAGTTCTTGAAGATCAGTCGCAGGGGCCAAGTAGCTCTTACTTAGTAAGTAGTTTAAGTCAAGGGTAGAGTTCTTACTTCTTGAGATCAGGGAAAGCATGACTTAGCGATATCTGCTCCCTATTCCCACTCCCGCAATCCTATACAAGTTGCAGCCCACTAAGGCTGACCCTCTGGGCATTCCTGAGGCCCTGTGCTAAGTGTTTAAGCATTCTCATTTACTCTTGAACTTAACTTTAAAGAGCCAGGGGCATGAAGTAACTTTCCTAAAGTGCTACAGTGGTGAGAGTCACCAGGCTTCAAAACCAGGCAGTGTAGCTCCATGCTCATAACGAGGACACTGGAGGAAACACCACCTCGGACTATTTAGTAATCCCAGACATCCCTTGGAGAACTTACAGATTTTTTCTTTCCTTTTTTTAAAGGAGAAAGTCTCAAGAGAAGAGAGGATCTTTAGAAGCCTCCTACACAAAGGATATGCAACCCCCCTCGTTTGGTGGTGTTAGAAACCCACCTGTAAACAAGGTGGGGGGGGTGTAGGGGGAACCTAAATATCATACTTATTATTTGTAATGGTTTCTCAGCAGCTGAACACATAGTGTCTTGAGAAAAGGTGCTTTCTTATAACTTACACCAGGGGTGTCCAATCTTTTGGCTTCCCTGGGCCACATTGGAAGAGCTGTCTTGGGTCACACATAAGATACAGTAAACTAATGATATCTGATGAGCTAAAAAAAAAAAAAATCGCAAAAATCTCATGTTTTAAGAAAGCTTACAAATTTGTGTCGGGCCGCGGGATGGACAAGCTTGTTTTATACAAAGCACTATATGGGGCAGTGGCAACCTGCTTACATAAAGGGTTATGAAGGCCTGGTTCATTACAACAAACTTCACGGCCCATACAAAGAGTTATTCATTTTACTTTTGACCACTTACCCCATGAACTACACCCAATGGAATACTAACCTCAAGCATGGCAGCTCCCACTGGATTAGTCCTAAATAGACTTAACCCTAAATAATCAGTGACCACTGTCCAGGGCAGAGGCTAACCCTGGGCTGCAGATGCAATTAAACTCCTCTAGCAAGCAGAGGCTGGTCTGTAATACAGGACGGCTGGGGCAGAGATACACCTTAGCAGATGCCAGCAGGCAAGTTTAGGAGTTCTCAGTCTCAGAAAAACATCCAGACCGTCTGTCGGTATCCCCTTATGCCTACAGTAGCCCCGACTCCCAATTTCCCTGGTAGTGGGGCAGACTGGTTATCAGGTCACAACACCCGTTAATTACGAAGTAAAGGGATGGGCAACATGCTTCTCACCTTAAGAGTCACGTGGAGAGAAATGCTCAGGCACAAGGGACTTAAAATGAGAGGTAGAGGGTGAATGTAGGAGGTGTAGGTCTTCCCCCAGAGCGAACTAGCCCAATCGGAGAAAAGGTTTTAGGTGCCTGGTAAGGGAAGAGGCCTCAGTCCCCGACGTCTCTTACCGCCTACACTGGACGAGGGTTTGGCGTGATTAGAGGCAAGACACGCTCTCCCACCCTAGCAGGCCGCAGGGTCAGCCCCGACCGGACAGACTGGCGAGTGTGCTGCGGCGCCCAGCGCCCACCCCTTCCCACCCTGGGAGCCCCGCGGGCCTCGCAGCGCCCCTCCTCCGCCCAGCCCCGCACTGCCCGCCCGCCCGCAGCAGCAGCAGCGCCCCGGGCTCGACCTCGCTGCCGAAGGCCAGCTTGGCGGAGGCGGCGGCCAGGGCCCCGAACGCGCCGGCGCACAGGCAGTTGAATACGCCCCAGAAGCGGCGCCGCATCGCGCCCGCCTGGAGGTGCGGAGGGAATTCCGCGGGGGTGTCGGGGTAGGCGGCCGAGGACACCGCGCCGCCCGGGGGCCGCGGCCTCTCGCCCATGGTGCCTGCTGCAACCGTGCCTGGCGCCCGCCGCCCGCTAGGCCAGGCGCGCGCCGCAATTGGACGGCAGCCTCACGTGACGCGGCGCTCCCGTGACGCGGCTCCCGCAGGCCCCTTGGGAATCGCCCCCTGGCGCCTCGGAGGGGACAGGCCAGGGGGCGTGGCAGGGCCCCTGGGCGGTGGCGGCCTCCTGCCTAACCTGTAGTAGGTTTGTGCTCGGAGCGGGGCCGGGGCGGGGGACGTCGGGACCCGAGGCCTGAGGCCGGGCCGGGTACTGTGGACGCTGTGGTAGAAGGTAAACTCACTGCTTAGCGGTCTCCATCCCGGCCCCCCGGCCGCCCGGACCCCCGGTCCCCGGGCCTCCCGGCCCCCGGCTCCGGGTGAAACTTGTTAAAGATGCGAAACCGGCCCCGCCCTGGCCCACCGAGTCTATCCACGTGGACGACCAGGCTGCCTCCTCTCCACCCTCCAGCCTGAGGACCGCCGGTCCGAGGGATGCCTCGGCAGGGGGCGCTGGGGACCTCCAGACCCAGAGAGATGGGAGAGCCCCAGATGGGGACACGCGCATCACAGAAAACCAAGAAACTACGGATCCGCGATGAGAGGAAGATAATCATCCATAATCGTGCCACGCAGGGCCAACGTGACTTCTAATCTCCTGTTGCACTTACATAAGTTTAAAATGTTTCCATGTAAAAAGTACATTTCCTTGAAAATAAACTGTTGTTGAAATGTATAAAGTACTATTTCCACTCTCCAGGAAAATCACTGGAAATAGAGCATTTTTCTATGTCTATTTGGTTATATAGAGTTAAAATGTTTTAAAAATTATAGAATATGGATATGCCTTTTTTAAAAAACAAAAATTATTTTACAGTTGAACATACTGTTCAACAGCATTCTTTTGGTATCTTCCGTTCAGCATGTTTTCATGGAAGTCCTTCCACACCATGCTCTTCTCTCTTAGGGTGGTTTTGTAGTTCAAATAAAAGCACGGATAATTTCAGTAACGCCGAAATGGTACGAATGGTCCCATTTTGCAGATGAGGAAACAGGCTGAGGTCTCACTGCACCGCTCCATTGAGCCAAGAGCTGCTCAAAGATGATCACCTCGAAAAACTCTTATCAGGAAATCAAGAGATATTGCATTGATCAACTCTGCATGCTTTAAAGAATGTAAAGCAAGTTTTCTTAGAACAAACGATGCCTCTACTAGCACTAAAGGTTAAGTAAGCATCTCAGAGCCGCTTCCTCTGTAAAGTGGTTTTCTGCTACTCCTCTACCTTGGTTCCAGTCCTGTGGTTGTTCCTCTGGTTGTCTGTCTCTCTGCTAGCCTGCAAGCTCCTTGAGGGCAGGGACTACATCGTTGTTAATCTCCAGATTCCCAGCTCTGGTGATGATGGCTGAAGTGATGCCATCCTCAGACACTCTGCTGGGAAGTGATTTCTGCCTCTTAGAAACTGCTCTGTGTATACACATCACCTAGGGATCTTACTAAGATGAAGGGAATTCTGATTAGGTCTAGAGCTAGACTGAATTTTGTTTGTTTTGTGGGGAGACAGGGTCTCTCTGTCGCCCAGTCTGGAGTGCAATGGTGTAATCATGGCTCACTGCAGCCTTGAACTCCCAGGCTCAGCATTCTCTCAGCTCAGCCTCCTGAGTAGCCAGAACTACAGGCATGAACCATCAAGCCCAGCTAATTTTTTTTTCTTTCTTTTTTGAGATAAAGTCTTGCTCTGTCTCCCAGGCTGGAGTACAGTGGTGTGATCATAGCTCACTGCAGCTTCAACCTGCTGGGCTCAAGCGATTCTCCCACTTCGGCCTCCTGAGTAGCTGGGACTATGGGCACATGCCACTATGCCTGGCTAATTTTTGTATTTTTTTGTATAGACAGTATTTTGACATGTTGCCCAGGCTGGTCTCTAACCTCTGAGATCAAGTGATCCACCTACCTTGGCTTCCCAAAATGCTGGGATTACAGGCAAGAGCTACTGCACCCAGCCCCCAGCCCCCAGCTTTTTTTTTTTTTTTTTTTTTTTTTTAATTTTAACTTTTGTAGAGACAGGATCTCGTTACATTGCCCAGGCTGGTCTCAAACTCCTGGTGTTAAGCAATCCTCCTACCTTGATATTCCAAGATATTGGGATTATAGGCATGAGCTATCATACCTGGCCCGATTCTGTATCTTGAGCAAGCTCCCAATGCTGTTGGTCAAAGGACCACACTGGGTACCAAGGCTCTAAATTACTGCTGTGCTTGGTGCACCTAAGTGCATTGCAACCTTCTTGTCTCCCTAACAGTGTTCTGTCAAGGGCAGAAACCATATTTTCTATCTTGGTTCCTACCACAGTGCCCAATAATGTGGCCTTGTTACAGATGTTTGATTGAATAGACTATGGTTTGATTTTTTTAAAAAAACAACCAACCCACCTACCCACCCACACCGAACTTACTAACAGCAATGCAAGCTAGAGCTTCTTGAACTGAGTCAGCGTGGAGGGGAAGGAATTCCACCCACATTTATTTTAAAAATCAGTTGAAACAAACCTCAGAGATGGCTTATGAGCAAAGATGATCCACTGAGTTCTTGGAGACTGTTTCAAATGCCCCATCACATTTAAGGACCAGAAGTCACAAGAAACCTTAGGGGAATGGGAAGGAATTTAAAAGTATGAAGCCAGCCCCTAGTGTGAGACATTAGGAACAGGTGGGGTCCTAGGGAGTGAATGCTTTCTATTGCTTTCTCTCTCCAGCCTTACCTCAGTCTTTTCCTCCTGACTTTTTACTGTGTCCATTTCTCTGCCTCTTCTTTGTTCTTCTTGGTTAAGCAAATAAGCACATGCTTTGAGCCAGTCCCTATTCCAGGCAGCAAAGTCACCTGAATGCCTAAGACAAGATTCCTGCACTCCTTGGGTTCTGGCTTTTTGCAAAATCTTAATTCTAATTCCCTGTCCAGAAGTGGCCCACAGCTTTGTTTCCTTTCCTTGAAAGGAGTGATGTTCTGGGTTGAATTGTGTCCCTTAAAAAAATAGGTTGAAGTCTTAACCCCTGGTACCTGTGATGTGACCTTATTTGGAAACAGGATCATTGCAGATATAATCAAATTAAGATGAGGTATTGGTGTTATCATATTGGTCCCTAATCCAATATGACTAGTGTCTTTCTAAGAAGAGACAGAGGCAAAAGGAAGAACACCAAGGATTCCTGACACCAGAAGCTAAGAGAAAGGCATGGAACATTCTCTCTTATGGCTCTGAGAGAGACTGTGCCCCTGCTCGCACCTTGATTTTGGACTACTGGCTTCTAGAACTGTGAGAAAATAGATTTCTGTTGTTTTAGGCCACCCACTTTGTAGTCATTTGTTATAACAGCCCTACAGCTAATACAGGTAATAAGTCCCAAGCCTCTTCATTATCAGCTTCAATATTCCACCTTTCTTCTACCTCCGAGGTAGTTGCAGTGTCTGTTCGCTACCTTATATTTAATACTACATTAAAGTTCCTGTTTCATTTCTGGCCCTTAGGGATTTACTATTTATTATTCCTTGAGAGTTCAACTATACATTAAAATATTTTCCTACAGTTTTATTAAAATTCACCCATTTTGAATGAATATATATATTTTTTGAGACAGAGTCTCACTCTGTTACCAAGGCTGAAGTTCAGTGGTGCAATCTTGGCTTAGTGCAACCTCTGCCTCCTGGGTTCAGGCAATTCTTCTGCCTCAGCCTCCCGAGTAGCTGTGATTATAGGCACGTGCCACCATACCCAGCTAATTTTTGTATTTTTAGTATGGAGTTTTGCCATGTTGGCCAGGCTGGTCTTGAACTCCTGGCCTCAAGTGATCCACCTGCCTTGGCCTCCCAAAGTGCTGGGATTACAGGTGTGAGCCACCACATCTCGCCCTATAATTCATTTTTTAGCAAATATAGAGTTGTCTAGCCATTATCACAAATTTTAAAATATTTCTATCACCTCAAAAAGTTCCCTTGTGCCCAGTCATTACCACTCCCACCCTAGCTCCAAGCAGACAATGATTTACTTTCTATCTCTATAATTTTGCCTTTTCTGTACTTTCCATATAAATGAAAACATATAATATGTGGTCTTTTGGGTTTGGTTTCTTTTACTTAGCATGTTCCCTCTTTATTGCCAAGTAATATTCCATAATATGGAAAAATGTTCAATAGCATTAGTAATTAGGAAAATGCAAGTGACATAACTACACATCTGCTAGGATGGCTGCAGTGAAAAAGCTGACAATAACAAGTGTTGGTGAAAAGTGGAGAAACTGGAATACACTGTTGGTCGGAATGTAAAATGGTACATCTAAATGATAAATTTGGAAAACAGGCAATGTCTTAAAAAGTTAAACACATGCTTTTCAAATAACCCAGTAATTCTACTCCTAGGCATGTGCTCAAGAGATGTGAAACGTGTGTCCACACCATGACTTATACATGAATATTTATAGCTCCATTATTTATGACAGTCCTAAGCTGGAAATAATTCAAATGAGTGGATAGTTTAATATATCCATATAATGGAATATTTGTCTCAATAAAAAAGAAAGAAGGTCCACTACATAGAAGTTCCTTGAGGGCAAGAGTTTTTATTTGCTTTGTTCACTGATGATTAGTGCCTGGCATACTGTAGGTATTCACTAAGTATGTGCTCAATGAACAACAGAATGACAATGTAAATCAC